TTAGATTAACCTATAAAAAAACATAAAAAAATATATAAAATCTTATATAATATATTAAACCGCCTAAACGCTAAGATATCGCCCTTTCGGTAAGCTCGAATTACTACCGATTCCCTCCTAATCTTTTACCGAATTATTAATAAATTTTATTATAAGCTTATCTTAATCGATCTAGAAAGGAAGGATAATTAATATAATTTTAGTAGTTATAGACTATTTTTCGAAATAGTATCTTTTCTTCCTAGTTTCGACTATAATAAACACTTCGGAATTAGCCGAGCTATTCTATTAAAGTATTAAATTATAATTTAGACTACTAAATAGTATTATATCTAACTAGGGATTAGTTTTTATAAGTAGGCTTTAGTTAAAATTATATTATATATCCTAGATAAAACTAAGGTATTCGATAGCGTTTTACCCCTAGACCGACGGTTAAATAAAGAGGATAAACTAAACGCTTAAATACTACCTTCGGTACTTTATTAATAAGTAATAGAAGATATAGCTTATACTTCTACGTACTATAGAATTCGCTTATAATAATACTATTAATATAATAACTAGAATATCGCCTTTCTAAGCTTTATTAGGGTTTAATCTAAATTTTTAAATATACGCCGAGGATAGTAGCGTTAAAAAGGAGGTACCGGTAGCTTTAGTAAGAATTTAAAAGCTTATAGAGCTTTACGAAAAGCTATAGAAAGTATAAAGAATAGTAACCGAAACGTAGGCGTTTTATTATAATAAGTATTATAAAGAAATAATATTTAAGATGAACGATTTAATAGCCCTATTAATAAAAAACCTACGATTAAAAGAAGGTACTATAAAGAAGCTATTACCTAGATAGATTAGACCTTTTAAAATCCTTAAATACGTTAGAAAATAGGCGTATCGCCTTCTACTCTCTAGCTAATATATAGCGATCTATAACGTTTTCCTTATCTCCCTACTTTAGCTATAGTACTAACGAGAGGGCGAATTAGAATAATTACTATTACTAGAACTAGTAGATAATAATAAATAAGAGGTCGAAGAGGTTAAGGATTACTATCGGTTTAAAGACGAATTATACTATCTAGTAAAGTAGTACGGCTAGCTATTAGAATATAATTAATAGGTACCCGAAAGCGTAATAATAAATACGCTAAAAATTATATTAAAATATTAAAAAACTCTAGGAAAGAAGAAAATCTAAGGATAATTATAGCCGCCGAATTAGAATCGGAACTAGTCTATTATACTCGTAGGTCTAAGGGGAACGTAGCTAGGTACGCCTCTAGGAATTATCTTATAGTATTAGATATCTAGGAATTATCCCGAGTAACCTAGACTAATTCTTATATATCCTTCTAGAAGATAACTATCCTAGTATACTAGCTACGCGCCGACTCCTCGGCTATATATAGACGAGGGTAGTAACTAGCCTTATTTATAAGTTTCTTATATTTAGTAGCGGTAGTAGGAATAGGTAATAAAGGAATTACTAATAAATTATAGTTAGATACCTACTAGGAATAAGCGTCTTTAGTAGCCTAGGAATAGATTAGAATAAAATCCTAAAGATATAAAGGAAAATACTTTACCTAAGGTATATAAGTACCGGAGAGAGAGTAGGTATGATAGTAAGACTTTATAAAATTATTAAAGCTCGCGATAAGATACCGAACGTACGCCGTAACGCTAACAACTAGTTTATAGGATAGTTATAATATAATTACGGTATCTTAGTCGTTAATATTAGGCTTAGCGTCTTTACTAAAGCCGTTATTAAAGTTCGTTTAAAAGTCCCGAACCTATAATAAGTACGCCGAAAGTTTATAGCGGTTCCCCTCGATACCCTTAGGGACCTAAGCGAGGTTAGTATAATTTAGTACTAAATCCTTATTAGAGTAGTCTAGAATACTTACTATCTTATAAGACTTATATAACCTATTATAATATTAATAATTCTTCTTATTATATATTTTAGCGAAGTAGTAGATAATAAAGGGTCGAAAAGATACTAAATTAGTATCTATCTACTCGTATATAGAAACGCGTAGGTATATTATATACTAGATATATTAGCGTAAAATTAGAGAGCGTAGTTTATATAGCGAATAACGAATAGGAGGTATAGTTACGATTAACCTATAAAATAATAATAAAGAAGTAGTAAAACGTAAATCTAAAGGAGTAAGAAGATAGAGAGTTATAAAAAGAAAATAAATTAAAGATTATTAACGTAATAAGGTCTAGATCGGATTCTATATAAAATAGGAAACTATAGATTAAATCTAGGAATATAAGTTATACCTTCTATTTCTATCTACTACCTATTAAAAGCTAAAAGCTAAAACCTAAAATAATACTAATATATAACCTTCCCGCCTATAATTCGAAAAGCGGAATAGGAAAAGAATCCGCTAGATCCTCTACTAAGTCCCTTAGAATAACGCCTAGTATTATAGGATCGAAGTATCTAATATATATATTTTAGATTACTACTAAAAGATTATACTTATTCTAGGTCTAAATAATAAAACCGTTATCTCTTATTTAGAGACGCTATCCCGCTTCGGTATAGAACTATTTCTATTACTCTTCTATTAAAAAAATAAGAGGGCGCGGGATAGGGTTTAGGTATATTATATAGCGATTAGCGAGATAGCTATAATACTAAAATAAGTTATTAACGAATTACTACTAGGATATATAATTTCTAAGAACCTACCTTAGTCTCTATAGAATCCTTCCGGTCTTTATCCGAAAACCTATAATCGGACTTATACGTTTTATAGATAGTATCGAAGTCTTTTACTAAATTAATAACCCCTTTATTTATCTCCTAGAGATATATTATATCTTATATATAATATTTATTCGTAGGTAACTAGTACTAGGTTACCTATTCTAGAATCGCGATTAATTCGACGCAATCTCCTTATATTCCCTCTAACGGAGGTTTATATATCGACTTCTATTAATTATATTATTAGTATTTTTTAGAGTTAGCCTTATATAAGAAATACTAGATAGAAAATAGAACCGCGCTCGTTCTAGAGGTAAAACAAATAATTATCGAGCGAAGATAGCTTATATACTATATATTTTTTAAATAGATTTAATTTCTATAAATAGCGGGTATAGTAAAATCGATACTAAATATTAAGGATAGTTAGGAAATTAGGGTTCTCTACTATAAATATATCTATAGCTATATAGCCCTAATACTATAAAGATATAGTAAAATTGGATAAAGATTTAGAACTATTCTAATTATAGCTCCTTTATTATAGAGTACTACCGATATCTCCCCGATACTTTATAGCTACAATCTATTTTCGGATATAGATATCCTCGTAGGAGAAGGGGGAATAATTATAAAGGATAAAGGTCCTTTTAAAGGTGAAATAGGAACTTAGGCGACATATATATTTATAGAAGTTTTGATACGTATGTGAATCGTGCGGGGTTCGTCACCCGATCGGTGCCGAGCCTTAGCACGCACATTTCCTTTTAATCTTGGGTCCCCCGGGACCCCTGAATTCTGGCAAGAATTAGTCTTGGCACACACAGCCCAATACACCTTTGTTCCTCCTCCTAAGCCAACGTATCTTACCCGGTTGATAGGCCTTACACCTGAAACAGTATATTCTTACATAATTAGAGTACTAAGGGTATATATAATACGAAATTACTACTATAAAGTAATTATAACTAGTACTACGTATATATTTAAACTAAACTATAAACCTTTATCTATAGCTCTAAATCTACTAGTTATACAATATATATAGCCTAAGCGAGATCATATACATTAGACCTATATATCTCGTAGGCCATTGATATGTCTACGTAGGCCCCCGAAGACCTCCGAAGGTCCACTTTGAAGGTGTCATCTCGGGTCTAGGCGGGTTCTGCACCTTACTTTGTATGGTGTAGGACGTGACAGAGGAATAAAAGCTTTAAGCGGGAAGCGTTATACTACTTAATAAGCGCCGGTACTAAGCCCTTCGAACGATAGGGGGTTAACCTAATCGGCCTCTTACCTATAATACCGGGTAGTAATCGGTAGATTATTATAGCTATTAACTACGCTACCGGCTAGCTACTTACTAAGGCCCTCCTAGAAGTAACGGAAGAAGCTATTACCGAGTTCCTATATAATAATATCTTTATAGTCTATAGAGTACCGGCCGAGTTCCTTATAGATAACGGTACTAACTTACTTATAACCTCGGTATAGTACTTTATTAAATTAGTAAATACTCGATACCGTATAACGACCCCTTACTACCCGTATATAAATAGGAAGGTAGAAAACTTTAACGGCTTACTAGGACGGATACTTACTAAGTACTATATAGGTAAACCTACTAGGATATAGGACCTCTACCTAGCCTAAGCACTATTTACTATTAGGGTAAGGGAGTATATAACCTCGGGTAAGAGCCCGTTTTACCTTATTTATAGTACGTACCCGGGCTTACCTAGAGACTCCGAACCGGTTATAACGATCTAGGACCCGGCCGAACTTAATAGTAAGATCTTAGCTATTAAATCGGCCATGATTTGGACAGATTTCCGATTTTTTTTCGATTTAGGGGTTGCTTCGTCGCTAGGTAGACGACTTCTCTTTTGTCGCTTTGACTACCTCAGTATCGGCGATAGCAGGTTTGATCTTTTATTGGAACGATTCCGGGCTCATAACTGACAGAAATCTGACGTATTGAAATGTATGGGCACCACGGCTGATATAGAGAACTCTGTATTTTCTATCTGAGTAAAATCCACTGTTTCTGTGCGGTTCTTACTAAGCTTGATTACATAAGGCATATTTCTCAAAATCACATGATCTTCCATGGTATCATCCCATGTATGCAACCTTGCAGTTTGACATAATACAATGATATTCCATATGGGGTCCTACCGCCTAAGAGCTACTTAACTAATTTCTTCTCTGCCCCCACTTTTTCTTTCTTCTCTTGTCAAGCACTCAATAGTTAACTAGTTATATTAAAATGGATGATACAAAGCCATGGGGCTATAAATGGCGTTCATCTCGACTGTTGGTGGTTTCGTCCATCACAGTTGCCTTATTCGCAGGTATGTCTGGTTGTTTCACACTTCTTCTTTTCACATCTGAGTCACACTAACAATCCATTAGAGACATTTCTCTATGGATTTCTTACTCCGATCTTGAGTTATATGCTTGAAGAACGACTGCATCTGGATTCATCACAAACTCAGACGTACACCACAGCATTGCTCACCACCCATGGGTTCATTGGTCTCGTCTCTGCTCCGATTGTCGCTCACCTTGCTGAGAAGACTTCGAGCCAAAAGAAACCACTATTGATCGCTTTGGCAGGATGTTTTGTGGGAACTCTGATTATTGCTCTTGCCCCATCTGGTATGAGCACCTCTATCCTTGATCACGACTCTTGGGAGCTAATTACCATGAACAGTTTGGGTACTCTTCGTTGGTCGCATCCTGCAATCTATGGCGGGTGCCGCTACTTGGGTGGTTGGATTTGCTCTTTTGGCAAACAATGTGGACAAGAAAAACCTCGGACAGTCGATGGGGATGGCCATGTCATTTGTAACTGCAGGAATGGTTGGCGGACCAACAGTGAGTGGCGCAATGCTTCAGCTATTTGGCTACTGGGCCGCCTGGTCACTTCCCTTGGTGGTACTTGTCTTGGATATCGTTGCCCGTCTGGTCATGATTGAGCCTGCTCGAAAATCCCCCAAAGCTGCTGGCAAGTCAGTTCTCAACAATGACGCGAGCCCAGAAGAATCGACTGCTCTACTTTCTGATACACCGGCTACAGCCAGACCGGACGATAGTACAGTGGAGAACAAGCACGATCTCAAACATGAATACTACAGAGTTATGCTCTCCGATCCACGTGTTTTGACTGCATTGGCCAACGTTATTGTTGTCTCCTCTCTCATGTCTGGCATTAACAACACTCTCCCTGTTCACCTGAGACAAGCATTCGGCTGGAAGAGTTTGCTCATTAGTATGATGTTCTTCTGCCTCCAAGTGCCGAACATTGTTCTCAGTGGCCCATCTGGGTGGCTTCGCGATCGGATTGGAATACGGGGACCTACCGTTTTCGGTTGGCTCGCAATGATCCCTCTCATCTTACTTCTGGGGATTCCTGGAGACCCCCACTTCCCATGGGCCGGAGGAGATGCCGCTGGCAAGTCGATCTTTACCAGCAGTTTGATTGCTTTGGGTAGTATTCTACCTCTTGTGCGTGGAGTAGGAGCCGTACAACTGGCCTGTGAGTGATTCCATCATATTTTTTGCTGTCTATTCCCGTTAACAAATGTTGCTTTTCCAATATAGATGTTGTGAAGGACATGGAAGCTAAAGACGCGCATATGTTCGAGGCCAACAGAAGCAACCTGCGAGTCTTTTCTATGACTGAAGTCGGATTTAGTCTCGGTATGATGCTTGGGCCTTTGTTGACCGGCTCGTTATTCGAATTAGTTGGCTTCTTTTACATGACTGTGGCACTAGGTGAGCCACCCCCTCTAATACCCCATCGTTCAATTACTCATCCTGTGGAGCTATTACTTGCCTCATCCAGGCCGCAATTTCCTGGAGTTGGTTGGATACCTTGCCTGGTCCAGAAGCTCCCGAAGCTTCGGTTTAAAATGTTGGAATTATTGATATATATGCGCTGAAACGAGCCTCAGAGAGCGTTTATCGTGATACGAATACTTTAGCAATGTTGGTTAAGATAGAGATAGAGATAGATGTATGCTTCAAGGTACATAAGATAAAAAGCATAAATATTCAGCCAAGGCTCTTGTCGTACTATCGAGCTTCATCGAAGATTAATAGTACATTTCAGAACCATGGAATTCCAGAGGAGAAAATCAATGGCATGATACAGTTTCGCAAAGCGGCTTTTCGATCTGCCCGAGGAGCAAAAGATGAAGTTCTATATTGGGAACTTGACAATGTCCTCACAAGTTCAACCCCACGGTGTCCCAATCCAGAACAAGAGTATGTAAGCATCAAACCCCGAACCCCGCACATGACGACGGACGGTTTCCTGAGCACAGAGACTTATAATAAATTGTGTCGAACAACATCCAGGATAAAAGCCATTGATATCACAATGTCATTGCCATTCAGTACCCCGCCCTCGACGGCTACGGCCTCGCTCACACCATTCAAAGCCGACATCCCCACGGCTAAACTGGTCGAGCTCGAGACGTTAATACAGTTAGCGAAATTGGCACCGCAGACATATGAGAATTCCCAAACAGACCGTCGCTATGGTGTCACTACAGATTGGCTAGTCAATATGCAGGATCGGTGGCTGAGGTCTTACGACTGGTAATGACCCCAGCGCACCGTGCATGTGCTCCAATGTGCATGATATTGGACACAGGGCTGAAATATCACACTAGGAAAGCTTCCGAGGATAAAATCAATAGTTTCCCTCAGTATACGACTGAGGTCGAGGGCCTTACGATTCATTTCGTAGGGTTGTTTTCGGAAAGGAAAGATGCTGTTCCTATCTTGTTGTTGCATGGATGGCCTGGTAGGTCTATATCTTTCCTTTGATCCCATAGTAAGCCCATACCCAATGCATAGCGATTGACATAATGCATTATAGGGAGCTTCCTCGAGTTTCTACCTATTCTGCAAAGGTTCCGAGAGGAGTATACGCCGGAAACGTTGCCTTATCACTTGATTGTACCTTCATTGCCGGGTTTCACGTTTTCTTCGGGACCCCCACTGGATAGAGACTTTGGAACAGGTGACATTGCTCGTGTGGTGGATCAACTAATGAAAGGTCTCGGTTTTGAGAGCGGGTATGTTGCCCAGGGAGGTGACATTGGAAGTCGGATTGCCAGGCACTTGGGTGTGGACCATGAGAGCTGTAAAGGTATGAAATATTCAAGATATTCCGACTGTGTGGGTTGAGCTTTTTCTGACAAGTTGTAGCTGTACACGGTGAGTACTTTCTTCATAAGAGATATCCGATGACTTGAGTGCCAATATAAGATAGTCAACGTGGTTTTCATGAGAAAGCCGGACGGCATGACGGACGACCACCTGAACGCCTTTGAAATAAAAGGCATCGACAGGATGATGAACTTCATTGCTACGGGTGCAGGCTATGCGACTGAGCAAGGCACTCGACCCAGCACCATCGGGCACGTTTTGTCATCGAGCCCGATGGCTCTATTAGCGTGGTGAGTCGCGCAAAACAAAGCGTAGTCCACATGAACAGCAAAACTGACACCCACAGGATTGGAGAAAAATTCCTGGAATGGGTTGACGATCCGCTTTACCCAGATGATATTTTGGAATCTGTCACCTTGTACTGGCTTACGGAGACGTTCCCTCGAGCGATCTATACTTATCGACAGGTGAGTTTCCTCCAAAGATTCCCGACCTCCACGAATAGACATCTGATGGGAATTAATAGAACTACCCTTCGCCACCGGTTCCGGCTTCCAATGATCCCCGTTGGTATATCCACAAGCCATTTGGGTTTTCGTCGTTCCCTATGGAACTTGCTCCGCTGCCGCGCTCGTGGGTTGAAACCACTGGAAACCTGGTATTCTGGGGGCAGCACCAGAAGGTATGGACTGTGACAGTTAAACAAGAAATGGGATTTGATACTGACGCTGATTCTTGCAGGGTGGTCATTTTGCGGCACTAGAGCAGCCTGATGAATTGAAAGCGGATCTGGTCAAATTCGTAGACCAGGTGTGGCCGGGTATTACCGGTGCCGAATAAGCTGGGGCCTATAACTAGGATAGAAGAGTGTGTGTTAAATAAATGAGTTTTATGTTAGGATATATTCAGGGACTGTGATGTTATAACTACCAGTGCCAAAGCCTGTAGAAGTCAAAGAGGATAACTGTACAAATTACTGCCTGGCAATATCCATGGATTATCCAATGAGAGAGTTATGCCCCCAGTGGCACACTTAATCGCCCGTAGATGTTCATAGATTGGTGGACTTGGTAAAGTAGTTGAGAGTGAGGGTGCAGTCGGGAAATTCGAATGCGGGTTGTTTATCAGATCGCGCCCACCCCTATTTAATTAACACTTTCCCCATCTCCAACTACATCTCAACAAGAACCACTAGAGCATCATAATTATTTTTCCAGAGCCACCTAAATAATGGCATCAACTACAGCAGCCGATGAAATGTTATCCGACGAATCCAGCTTCTACGGTAACCCCATCACATACTCCAACCAATCCCAAGAACCCCAACTAATTCATATCAGGCGATGACGATGAAAAGACCCAATTGGAAGCACAAGTCTCATCATACGACCCAGAGCCATTCTGGGTCGGAACTCACCAGAAGCTTCTATCAACCATGCAACAGCAACTACGCGCGCCGCCGACACGCGCTAAGGCTGCATCATCAGACATTTCCATGGACGATGCATCCCCAGAACCAGGCGTCATACCACGCGACCAGCGCGGGAAGAACGAGCCCATAGCGCGCTTTCTATCGCGTCTTCCGCCCTCAACAACAGAAGCCGCGGACGTAGGCCCCTGGATCTGGATGTTCAATCCGCATATGCCATCCAAGCAGAATGAGGATGGGGATATTCCCACCCTGCTTAGGAAAGGCAGGGAGCTTCTTCAGGAGTACGAGAATGAGAGCGTAGTCCTACGCGAGGCGCATGATAAATCCGGTGCGAAAACTACGGCTGCTTTGACTCGTAAATTGAATCCGATGCGGAAGGAGCTTGAGAAAAGCATTCTTGATCTCGCGAGGGATACTGGTGTTACCGGTGGGAAGTGGATGCTTTTTCCGACTGTTGATCGGGTTGATGAGTTCTGGGGGGCGGTTGTTAGGACGATGGAGAAAGGAGAGCTTGGGGATGTGGCGAAAGTTGCTACTGATGATGGAGGTGGAGAGAATCGTTTGATTTGTGTTTACACGAATGATTTTGGGGATGTTGAGGATGTTAAGCGGGTTGTGAGTAAGTTGGTTGATACTGGGCTTGTTGGGAAGGGACCTCGGCCTATTTACTACAAGTCTGATGCGTTTACTCTTCTGGAGATTAATTCTAAGAATGAGTATGGGCTCAAGGCGAGTATGTATTCCAGTCGGGAGGTGCTTGAGGGGAAGTAGGTACGGATTATTGCTTGCTGGGGTTTGTTAATGATTGATGAGGATATGATTGACGATTAATGTTATGCTGTAGTGGGTATCTCTGAACGCAGTTATCTACATATTTATGATACTTGATGTGTTTCCCACCATTGGTGGCTGACGGTGGGCTGTATGTCCAAGGCATTTCAAAAGTCGGGGCAGTGGTGGTTTCGTGGGGTGTTCGTTGGGACTGGCGGGAAGCAGGTATCGATTGATCATGTCTTGCATAGATGGAGAACGATTTGCCTTCATGAATGAGCCAGCTCATTCATGGCCGAAGCTGTCGGTTCAGCCATGGTCGAGGAGCTCCAACCACATGGATTATGGCCGAAGAAAGGTGTGTAAGCAAGGGTTCAGTCATCGTGACTTTCCCTATTCATGACTTTCTCACACGCTCCCCGAATCTCAGCAACCCCCTTAACATCACCCCAGGCGTCGAGTAAATGCCGAATCTCTTTCCAGTCCTTCTCCGCATCATCCTGTTTATCCTCCGCCACGAGCTTCTCCAATCTCTGCGGTGCAGCAAGCACCCACCGAACAGTATCCTTCTCGCGCTTCTGGGTTGAACCCTCGTCTTCCTGTTTCGCTTCCTTCATTCGCCGGCGCTGCTCCTCACCTTCCTCAATGAGCCCACCAGCAGTCTCAGCAACAAAAGCAATAGCCGGACCAAGCGTTTTTGTCATAGTCAACGGCGCACCGCGATCATCCATACTACGCCGCATTTTCCCAATTGTCTCCACAGCACGGATCAACTTCGAGTAGTTATCGTAGACCAGCGCCTTCCGCTCTCCGTCGAGAGTGCGGATATCTCCAACCAACGTGTTCTCCGCCTTGAGCACCGTAGACAGAGACGACGATGACAAGAGATGCTCGACATACCGCTGCGGGTTGAAGTCTGCACTGTCGAGCTCCGTTCCTGATCCTAGAGCGGTTGAATCAGAGATATCTCCTGCATCTGTGTTCCGCGACACACTCCGGGAGCGAGATGGGTCTCGGGAGGCGGATGTGTCTGCTCCGGGCGGTTTAAGGTTGTAGTAGTCTCGCAGGGCACTGCGATTGCGTCGCAGATGGAGTGAGGGGGAAAGAGCTCGTGCGGTGGATGGGGTAGATGCGGCGCTGAGCCCCCGCTGACGTTGGTGTTCAAGGCATCGAGTGATGGGCGGGATGAGGTTGGGCCCGGGGAATGGGCTCGAGAGGAGGCAATGGACGGACGTGGCGATGAAAGAGTCGACATTGCGGTAGGCTTTAAGGAGGTGTATCGGAGTTGTCGGAGGTGAGAGCGTCGGGCCAGGTCAATTGCTTTAAGCGGTGGTCTGTGCTTTAGTTTTCGCGTTGAGAGCTTCCCCAACTTCGATGCTTTCCTTTGATTTAACATACGTGCCAATATGATCCTAAGGGAATCCAACACATCATGACGAGTCCTGATCAAATTGCAGCTCAAATACTCAGCACAAAATCCCTCTCAGTCGCCCAACCCTGGCTCAATGCCTTCCTATCATCATCCAACACAGCACAGCGCAATATTCCCCCATCCGCTCTCGCCAAGACGGCTATATTCCGTCTTCTCGCCTCTGATATCAAAGAATCACTATCGAAACACAGATCTTGCGTACTACCAGTCGACATCCATGACCCGACTATCCAAGAGCGACGACTGCAAGGCTCAATCCCCGTGCAAGTGCTAGACATCGAAGACATTGGCACGAGTTTATGGAGCCAGATCGAAGCGATTGAACGTGTTGAGCGCGGCGAGGCCATCCGTGGCCGTGAAATTGTGCGCACAATAGCTGTGGGCGAGGACCCCGAGGCGTCGGAGAACAACCGTGCAAATAATAACCCTGCGAACGGTGCTGCGAGTGCGTCGGGGAGCAGTGGGTATGGGCCGCACCGGGTGATTCTTCAGGATGCAGCAGGAACTATGGCTGTGGGTGTTGAAATGCAACGTATTGATGGGATGGCATTGGAAAAACTTGCTATTGGGGCGAAGCTCTTGCTCCGTAACCCATCTGTTGCGAGAGGTATGGTACTTCTCTCTCCGGGATCTGTTACTCTACTTGGGGGCAAGATTGAGGCTTTGGATAAACCGTGGAGGGATGGTAGGAAGGCTAGGTTGATAGAGAAGACTGCAGGTGTTGAGAGAGAATGAGAAGAGAAGTCATCGTGGGCTCAATTGGCTGAACAGCCGGCGGGGTGTGGTTCTTTTAATGCGCATTTTATTATTATGGTATGGGATTTGCATTTCCCTTAATTTATCATGAAGATATTTCTTATGTTGAATTTGATGTTGTCATATTCATTCGCTAAAAACTGATGTGCAGTTAAAAAGTAGATAACTATACTGTGCATCAAGCTCACCTAGCCTCGCGCTTGTATGGCGCTTGTGTGGTAGGGGTAGTTACCTCATGGTCCGACTACTCCGGTCCATGGCCTGTACAGTGTTTCTATGCCAGGGGAGGTTTCTCGTCGTCCGAATCCTCCAATTTATGGCCAGTGCAGCGTGTCCACATGTTCCGGGTAGGTACATTGTGGTTCAGTTCCTCCCATCCAGTACGTTTCCATGGGGCAATCATGATGGCTCGGAAAGCGTCACCAACCTTTCCTGTCTGCGCGTAGGCTTGGCTGAGCTCCTCGGCTCCGAGGTTACCGTAAGGAGGCACGCTCCGCAGAGCGCGTTTGATAGTCATGGCGGCTGGATAAGGGTTACGCGACACGGCCGACAACTCCATCCATCCGGCAGATTGGCCGGGTGTAAGCATTACAGCAGTAGTGGCATCGCCAAGGCGCCTGACGCTTTCGGGGACGGTTGCATTATCGTTGAGTCCCATCGCTGAGATGGCACTCAGAAGTTTGATGATTTTAGCTCGGTCGTGGACATCGATGTCGTCACGCGAGATCATGCTGTTAAGGTCTGATTCAACTGCTTCAATGGCGCCCCGGTCCGCATCAAGGAGAGCGATGGCACCCATCAGGGTGACTGCTCCGATATGGCTAGGGTGATCCATCACGCAGTCGAGCAGTTGCTCGCGAGCAACAGACCGGTTTTCCTCGCCACCCTTGGCCCATAGAACCTGGGCAAGAAGACAGACAACATCCGGAGCATTCTCTGCTTCTTCGAGGGCATCGCGGAACATATCGATGGCTTGATCCATAGACTTCAGGTTGTAATATGATAGACCAGCGGCCAGATGCGCAGACAGACGAAGCTTCTTGCAGGCTTCGGGGTCAAATTTTTCCGCGTCTTCCTCCCCAGAGAGAGAGAGCGCGAGCTCGGCCTTCTCGGCGGCCTCTTCATAAGAGTGGCGTGCAAACAGGACACGAGCCATATCTGCGTTTGCTTGGGCATACCTCGAAAGAGAAGCTGGTGACTCAGTCTTTTCGAACTCATCTTCCATGCCTGAACAGACAACCTGCAGTCTAGACTCGGCATCTGCAGTTTCGCCCATTCTCTCTGCTAAAAGCGCGGAAAGATGCACAAACGGTAAGTTTGACGGATCTTGGATGCAGAGTTGGTGCAGTGCGAAGAATGGCTGAATGAGTTCGGCCACATTAGAGGATGAGGCCCCATTGAGATGATCAAAGTGGGTCAGGCTGAACTGGCGCTTGGTGAGAATATCGGACGAGGTTGAGATCTCAAAAGCATGCTCGAAATAACCCCTCGCCTCCTGTGTCTCGTGAGCATGAAGTGAAACGAAGCCTTGGCCAACCCAAGCCGGTGAATAGTCTGGGTCGGTGGCCTGCGCTCGCAAGAAGGTCTTGTATGATATGTGGCCTTCTTCGTAAAGGAGGTAGAGTGCTCCGAGGTTTGTCCAGACTTGTGCGTTACGTTCATTCAGATGCAAACTTCGGACAAACGCATGCTGAGAGACTTTCGGACTCATGATTGCAGTGACGACACCCAATGCGTTCCAGAAATCGGCATTGCCCGCCTCTAATTCGATTGCTCTCTTGAAGCAGCGCATGGCTGCTTTGACGAACTTGCGAGATTTCTTGCCTTTCTTGGTCGAGTCCGGCTGCACATTGCAATAAGCCAAATATTCAGCCCAACCAAGGTTGTACCAGGCAACTGCTTGGGAGTGAGCATCATGTACGGAAACGTGGAGTGCACGTTTAAAGGCGATTATGGACAGGTGAACGTAGAACTCAGATGGAATCGACTCTTCACTTTCATTGGCTACCAGCCAATCATTTCCGACGCCATCAATATCGGTCATGACATCAAGGGCCATAGGGTCGAGATCGACCTCCAGTAAAGCCTTGCAGCTGGAAGCAGACAGCTTTCCAGCCTTGGCCTTCATGTAGGAGAAGTTGGAGAAGGCATCTCCTATGGCCTTCCACAGGTTGAAAATGTCGCTTTTGATCTGCGCCAGCGAGCTGGCCACCGAAATAGCTTGGTATGCGAGCTCTGCCGCATCATTGAAGAGACCTTGGCCAAGGCTCTTCGCCGAACTCTCAGTCAGGGTCTGAAGAAGCGCAAGAGTCACACCAATGTCACCAGGCCGGGATTTCAGGACATCTTCGTAGGCAGCGACGGCGTCGTCATACTGGCCAAGCTCCCGTCTGACGTTTGCCAGCATATATCTTGCGAACCATACATGTTCCTTGTCTTTGTCTGAGAGCTCTGGTTCCAATAGTTCTGCTTGTTCAAAGGCCTTGGTGGCGGCGTTGTATCGACCAGAGTGGTGATAGCTTTCGGCAAGACCGACCCATGAGTGGTAATCTTTTGGTGCGAGTCGAAGCGCTGCTTGGAAGGACACAACACTTTTGCTGTATTGCTGTTTGTTAACCTGAACTGACCCCAGTGCCGCATATGGCCAACTAAACCCTCGGCGCTTTGAACCAGGGGAAGGTCTGGCCTTGCCGGAGTCAACCACCCGCTGCGCAACTGCTTCAACAAGGTCCCATTCCTTCGAGTCAGCAAAGCCCCTGGCAAGACGCTCGGCGGCTTCGATCTCAGAGGCTGACAGTTCAAATGCCTTGTGGAAGCATCTGCGAGCTCTGGCCTTATCCTTCTTGTAGTCTGCGTAGTAGAAACCGAGGATGGTATATGCTGGAGCGAAGTTCATATTCGACTGGATGGAAGCAAAGAGGCTAGCATAAGCACCACTGCGATCTTTGCGCGCAGCTGCGGACGGATCAAGCTCCCACTGGCAGTAACCAATGCGGTAAAGAAGCTCAGATTTGAACTCCCTGTTGTCCGGTTGGGCTTCTTTCAGGTCCTCATGCGCAGCCTGAAGACTGACTAGGCCACCTTCAAGATCGCCACTCAATGCTTCACACCAAGCAAGCTCTCCGCGAATCTTCAGGTTAGAAGAATCGCGTTCAAGTGATCGCCGCAGGAAGTCAACGGCTTCTACATAGTCTTGATCCTCTTTCAAAATCAGACCAATCCCAAGCAGGCAATTGGAGGAGGTTGGGTTCCGTTTGAGGATCCCCTCGAAGATTTTCTTCGCATCTGGGTGATATCGGGGGGATTGATAATGGATCATGGCATTGGCAAGTGCGTTGTTTAGGGAATCGATGGTGTTGGGGATCTTGACACCACTGTACTTTACCAATTTCTCAATGTACAGCAACCCCTTACGAGCAACATTGACCACGCTCTCATACTCTTCGAAAGAGAAGTAGACATCTGCCATGATACGGTGGGCAATAATTGAATCTCGAGCGGAATCCAAGCCCGTGACCATAAGGACGAGAGGGTCTTGAGGAGCAGTTTCCCCGTCGTCAATTTCGTTACCAGGCTGTGTGGCTGTGATTTCTTTGCCATCCTTGCCATCTTTGTCATTTGCTTCGCCCGAAGGAACCTTGGGAAATGGCGATAGTTCGCTCAACAAGAATCCTTTGAGAACCTGCGAGAGTCCAGATTCTGGGAAGAATTCAATGTACTCGTGCAGGTGCCCCACATCATACTGGGAGAACTCCTGAACATCCAGCCACCCCAGGAAAACCTTCCATGCGGGTTCGAAAGGATGTTTGATGATCACCATGTCATGTGCTGCCTTAAAAACAGCCGCTCTCTTCCCCTCCTTCTCGGCATCAGGCAGAAATCCGAGTTCTTCATATGCACGCTGAAACAACTTCTCCTCGTAATGACGGCGTTCAGTATCGTCATTGGTCCAATCAATCATTCCTTGATAAAATTGGTCCAATCGGCTCTTGTTGGCAGCTTCCCGACGAACTTCCTGGGTGACTTGTTCGATGCGAGCACCAAGACGCGTTCTGCGCTCTCCAATCTCACGATTCATAAACTCTCTTTCCTGGCGCTCGGTGATTTCAATCAATCGCTGGTATGTTTGGGTTGGACGAGGCAGCCGGCCCTCAAGGAAGTCGTACAGAGGTGAGCCTGGTATCTGGAGTTCCAATGCATGCTTGTGCTGGGCTAGGGTTCCCTTGTTCCTCATCGTCTTTGTATAATTGTTGATCAGATCTTGGCAGCGTTCCTTCTCGTCGCTAGAGGTTATTAGCACTATGTCCTTCCTGCAGAGATCACAAAGGAATCAAAGCATACTTCTCGGCGAATATCTTTCCAAGGGCAATGACTGCCTTGTGATAACCATCGTGGTCACAGCCACCCTGTTTCTCGTACAGGGAAATCAAGCCCTGCCAAGCAGTTCTATCGTTGGGATTGATACTCAACGCAGCATGATAGGCGTTCTCCGCGTCATGGTTCCTATTCAATCGATCGCAGGCGAGACCGAGGAAGACATTACTTGAAAAAAGCAAATCAAGTTAGCCATGTTCCATACAGAATCAGGAATTATTATCATACGCGTGGTAATTATTCGGCTCATTCTTGACAAGCTCCTTTGCTTTTGCAGCAGCGGCCTGGTAATCTTGCGATTCCAAGGCTGCTCGCACGGCTTTCAAAGCCGCTTTGCTCGACATTATTGCCGTTGTGCAAAGGCAGCGGGGAGAAACTGTCTTGGTGGAGCAAAGCCAGTCGGCTAGCTCGCGATACGTCACTTCTTATCGTTATCGAAGGTGGACACTGCTGGATCTTGGAGCTGGCAATGGACTTGCTGTTAGCTTTCAAGGTCTGAGTCGGTAAATGGAAGAAAGGAATCACCTTGGAGATCTCACGGTGGACGTGCTGAGAACGAAGAACAACTCGAGGGAGTGAGGATCTTCTGCGAGGTTTCTGGGAGTGGTCAGAATCACGTGTTCTAGTGATTTGAACGAAGATATCGGGCAGCTCGGCACTAGTGACCTTCCTAAAAGGTTGCCAAAGCTCGTTCGCGAGCTATTTCAATACTGATAGTCGAGTTGAATCGGGAAGTCGTTGCCTGTGTCTAGATATCTACTTCCCGCGAGCTGTGAACTTTGTATACTTCGTTTCTTGACTTGCCCACCCTGAAGCATCCCGCGCGCGGCACTACGACCTCATTTAACTTTGACCTTCGGTACACCGAGGAAACAATGGCCCCTCTCCAACTGAAAGTCGAGGGACAATCTTTTCGGGATCCTCACAACCGGGAGGTTACACTAAGGGGGATAAACGTTGCGGGCGATGCGAAATACCCAAAGACACCCGACATCCCCACATACATCGCCGACAAGTTCTTTGATGGGGACAATGTCTCATTCGTTGGACGGCCCTTTTCACTAAAGGATGCCCATATCCATTTCGAGCGCCTTCGGAAATGGGGTTATAACACTATCAGGTACATCTTTACCTGGGAAGCCATCGAGCATGCGGGACCGGGAGTTTACGACCATGAGTGGGTTGAATTCACCATAGAAGTCCTCCGGATAGCCAAACAATACGATTTCTGGGTCTTTATGGACCCGCATCAGGATGTGGTAAGTTGATGTGAATCGCCCCAGCAAAGAACTTACAACCCTCATACTAACTAACTCCCTCTTAGTGGTCCAGATTCTCAGGAGGGTCTGGGGCGCCGATGTGGACGCTCTATGCAGCGGGACTAAACCCTAAAACCTTCAAGAACACGGAAGCCGCCTTGGTTCAAAACACTTACGATATCCCCGCGGAGTTTCCCAAGATGATCTGGAGCACAAATTACACCAGACTGGTTTGTCAAACCATGTTTACTTTGTTTTGGGCTGGACGGGACTTTGCTCCTAAGGCAGTCATTGATGGGATCAACATTCAAGATTATCTCCAAAACCACTTTATTGACGCATGTGCATATTTGGCACGGAGGATTCACGAAGCAGGTGATCTTGATGGCGAAGTTATCATTGGCTGGGAAAGCATGAACGAGCCTCATCGCGGCATTATTGGTGTGCAAGACATTTCAGTAATTCCGCCGGAGCAGCAACTTCAACTTGGTACTTCGCCGACGGCATTCCAAGCAATGCTCACTGGCTCAGGCAAGGCCTGCGAGCAAACAACATGGGCTTTCGGAAACTTCGGGCCTTATAAGACTGGCACAAACCTGGTGGACCCGGCAGGTGAGATAGCCTGGTTACCAGCTGACCATGATGATAGCAAGTATGGCTGGCAACGTGACCCTGGGTGGAAACTTGGAGAGTGCATCTGGGCTCAGCATGGAGTTTGGGACCCGTCTACAGACACGCTTCTACGGAAGGATTACTTCTCAAAGAACCCTAAGACGGGTGCGCCACTTGACTATGAGAAATTTACCAACACGTATTTCTTGGATCATTACCGAGAATATAAAAATGCCATTCGAGGAATCTGGTCCGACGCAATAATGTTTTGCCAGCCACCTGTGATGGAGGTACCACCAGATGTCAAAGGCACTGCTGATGACGACCCGAACATGGTCCATGCAGTTCACTTTTATGATGGGTTAACTCTGATGACAAAGCATTGGTGAGATTTTGTCAGGGTTATTTAATTAGATGTTGGCGTACTGACTCCTACAGGAATCGACTCTACAATGTGGATGTCATCGGGGTTCTCCGGGGCAAGTACCTCACCCCTGCCTTTGCGCTCAAGCTTGGCGAGACGGCTATTCGCAACTGTTTGCGTGACCAGCTTAAGTTCCTCCGCGACGAAAGCCTGAATTATATGGGCAGTCATCCGGTGGTATTTACTGAGATTGGAATTCCCTATGACATGGACGACAAGAATGCATACAAGACCGGGGACTATAGTAGCCAAACCAGCGCCATGGATGCAAATCATTTTGCACTGGAGGGCAGTACTTCCAATGGCTTCACTCTGTGGGTATACATCACACAGGTAGGTATCTTTGCTCCTCAAAACATGAATGGTACTGACATACCGTAGAACGATCACGAATGGGGTGACCAATGGAACGGGGAGGACCTGTCCATTTATTCTCGCGACGATCTAGAACTGCCAGCAGGATGCAACACACGGCCTCTTGATACCCATTCCCCGGCCTACTCGGAAAGCCAGAATAGCGGAGCAGAGCCAAATGTTGGACCTCGTAATCTCAAGGGTGCTTTATCAACCCCTTCGATCTCCAGTAACCGCTCCCAGCCATCTTTGCGAGAGCAGCAAGGTTATCGCGCAGCAGAGGCATATCTCCGCCCGAGTCCAACTTACGTGAGCGGGAATTTGGATAATCATGTTTTCGATCTCAAGAATTGTGCGTTTACTCTATCGCTGACAGCCAAGGGGGCAACCACCGCAGACGCCCCTACCGAAATATATCTTCCTGAGTTCCATTTCCCAGAGAGCAACATCGTGGTTGCAGTCAGCGGTGGCAAGTGGGACATTGACGTCCAAGGCATCCAGGGTGTCAAGCTACAGCACCTGCGATGGTGGCATGCTGAAGGAGAACAGGACATCAAGATCGAGGGACTCAAGCGCAAGCCTGGGGAGTTCGCTGATCCTGGAGGTGCTGATGTCAGCTATCTGGAGCAATGCCAGAAGGGCCAGTGTGTCATGATGTGAAGTTATTACCTCTAAAGTTATATTTCGATAGTTGAAGTTCCTATTTGCCAATTTGAGATCAATTTCTTCTTTATATATATCTCTCTGTTCTCAATTCGTTTTTGTTTCCATTGCTTCTCCAAACTTCAAAGGGCAAAAACTGGATAAAAAGCATCAAATGATTATTTCAATCAAACTCAAAGTTATATGTGACAGGTCTATATAAGTCGAAGTATAGTTAACTACCACGAACGACCATAACTAGGTATGTGAGATAAGATAAACAATGATGAGGGGCATTAGCTCGCATACTAGGCAGCTATGATGACACCAAAACAACGTTGATTAACATATAGAAACAAAGAAATATTATAGCAATTGTTACCTAAATAATCGTCAATAATCGTCAATAATCGTCTATAACCGTGAAATGCTTCAATCAAGTCTTCTATCCTGTGCATCGCAAATGTGTGAGACGAGCGGAGCATCAACGGGTGAGCGGTGTGTGCCCTTGTTGATCTTCAGGGAAAATTCTCAGCCCGACAAGTCACCAATTGTCTTCTGCAAGTATTCCCTCTCGTGATCTTACGTCGCCAACTACCTACATTGCAAAAGTACCGACTCACGACTTCAAGTCCGATACTCAACCTCGAGCCACCCTTCCCCCGGAAAGAGCGAGTGGCGCGTGCGGATGGCCGTTGCGGGTGTCCGACTGCTAAACTAACACAGGACAAGTTCAACGGCCATCGAGTCTAACCTGCGCTCCTCTGACTATGAGACGCGGTCTACAACAGTGAAACGAGACCGAGACTTTACTTTTTTGTTCACAAAATCCTTCTGCAACGCGTTGACAAGATGGCTGCAGAGGAGCTGTCGGAGGGCGGCATGGCCGACATCATCCGTGCCCTGCAACTCATTCACAACCCTGCGTCGTCAAATGATCTACGAAAGGAGGCCTCCCAGTTCGTGGAGAGTTTGAAAGAGTCTGACGCCGCGGCACGAAATGGCTTCCTTTTGGCTTCCCGTATGGAGCATGAGCCCGTTGTCCGATACTTCGGTCTTACTCTCCTCGATCATGTTCTTCGCCAATACAACTTCACGAACCCCGAAGAAGCCAAGGCCCTACGCATGATGATTTTGCAGCTCGCCGAGAACATCCGCCCCGAAGACCCTGCCTATTTCCGGAATAAGATCTCCCAACTGTGGACCGAGGCCGCCAAGAAGACCTGGGGACTAGATTGGATGGATATGGATGCCAACCTGGTTCAGTTCTGGGGTGCATCTCTCGTTCACAAAGAGCTGGTACTCGCTGTTCTTGAGACCCTTTCCGAGGATGTCTTTTTCCGAGAAGATACTGCCTCGTCGTTACGGGGAGGTGAGCTCAATCGGTCGCTCATCGAGATCTTCACTCCTGCTCGCATCGTAGAGCAGATTACTGGGGATAAAAACATCCCCACCATCCCACGCTGTGGACAGGAGGGCTGGCTAGTTCGAATCTGCGAATTTCTCGACAATTGCGTCCAGAACGTCTCTAGCTCGGAACAGGCTCGGGATGCGGCCATAAAAGCCCTGGCAACTTTGAGATCTGCCTTGTCATGGTCCGTCTACAAAGGTGTTATTGCGTCCCAGGTTGTTCCCAGCATTTTCCGATCTTTGCCTTGTCAAGATGACCAGGTGCTTCTCTCTGCAATCGAAGCACTCCATGCGCTCTATGGAAGAAATACTATCGGCAGCGAAGACTCGCACGAGCTAGTCTGCCTGATATTTGAGTCGGAATACCTTGTTGTTCTTCAAAGGCTTTACGAATGGTCAATCGTGGGCCCAGATGACGTTGACGACCCCAAATACCTTATCTCTAAAAAGCTTTCTGAGATGGTCTCATATATCGCAGGATGCTTGGAAGATGACAAGTTCTTAGTCTCTACCATGGACCGTTTGAATCTGCCGCCATTCCTGCAATTCATGGCCAATATCATGCAACACCAGAGCTTGACGGTCTCCATACCTTGCCTGCATCTTTGGTCCAGACTATTACAAAACTCCAAAATCAGTAACTTGGACTTTGTGGTAGAACACACTCCTCAGTTCTTGAATATTTGCACCCAGCGGCTTCTTCGTTGGGAGTCTCTCCCGACTGAATCCGATGATCCTACGGTACAGTTCTTAGTCGAAGACATTGATACAGTTCCCGAACGACATGCCTTTGTCGGAAATTACCGCCGTTACTGTTCCTCGATCATCGAAGTCATCACAGTCAAGCGTCCCCAAGAAGCGGTGCGTGAAATCCTCGCACGAGTGGACACCAACCTCGACAACTTGTATAGCGGTGTTCAGCCATTTAGCAGTGAGTGTTACCAACCTGCCGAGCTATGGACTCAGCGACTAATTCATTTTACAGTGGCAACCTTCTCCAAATCGTCGATTCCTCTCATGCGAGCGGATGCTCAATTCGCAGTGGTAGAGGCTGTCATCAAGGGCTACAACAAGTGGGTTTCAGCTCATGGAAAAGCACCCCAGCGTGATGTAAGAGGAGCAAGCAGAAAAATGAATGATCGGCTGCTAATACTTAACAGGAGTCTAAACGAATGGAATTAGAACATGCGGTGGAAAACTGGGCTTCGATTCTCATGCAAAAATCTTTTGAGGTATGTCATTGTGCACAAATCCAGGGAGTCCCTCCACTCATCTTCTCGCCATAGGATCCTGTTCTGAAACAAAGAGTCATCAAACTGGCTGTCGACATCTCTTCGAGGGCTTTGGATAATCATCCAGGATTTGCGCTCAAGGTTCTGGAACACATTCTTATGTCACGCCTACCAGATCGGTCTGAATACCCATTGTATTCCGAGGCTGTCAAAGAACTTCATGGATTGGCAAGCTCTGAACTTCGTCGGTTGGCTATGCGCTATGCGGACTACTTTTATGTATGTCAATCCTCACATACTGATCATCCTGTACTCTCTAACCGTGCCTGCTGCAGACTTTCTATGACCTCCTTGAGCCAAAGATCAAAGAAATCACGATGGCTAACCGCATCGATGACAAGTTGCAAATGGAACTGACTTCCATCTTGCTCATTATCATGTAAATTTTTTTCTCATTCTTGTTATCCATCACAATTGCCCCATACTGACCCAACGCAGGCAACGCGCAATCAATGCTGATCCTTATCTGCGCCAAAATCGACTTTCAGCCTTCCTCCAGCCCATCCAAGAGTCATGGCAAGACGACCAATTTCGTCAGAACAGCTCCACTTTCCCCGGGTTTTGCAATATGCTTGGATTGGAAAATGTTGGCCCATACATGCAATCCAAAGAAGCACAGAAACTGGCAGACTGGTCCGAGGTTGTCTTGGACGCCGAAGGAAGGTTAGTTCAAGAAGAGATGACCAGAAAATTTCAGGTAAGAAAAGCCAAGCCTTAGTTCGTGTGGTAGGGCCAATCTAACCCATTATATTCTAGCTGTTGCCATTGCGTGGCACCAAGACTATGTTGGCTGTTTCCACAGATCGAGTCAAAAAGTCTACGCCAGCATATGTGACCGCTTGCGAGATGTGGCACGAATTGATCCCTGTTATTCTTCCCACCTTGCTGCAGCTTATCAGGTAATTTACTATGCTGATGCAGTTTCATGCCATCAAGCTAACCTGCAATTTCAAGACACGCCCATGCCTTCCACAACCCTGCCAACTGGAATATGGTCGAAGGCATGCAACCAGTAGTAGAACGCATCCTGACAGATCGATTTTGGCAGGCTGGTATTTCTATCGGTAGCCGCGACGAGTTCTACGCCAGAATCACATCATCGAAGTCTACACTTGAAGGGTTTGCATCATCGGTTCGAGGAAAAGTCAGAGCTGTCCGTGAAGCGTGCTACTCCATGCTATTCAGCATGAGCAGGATGCGAGAGCACTTCTATGGATTCGCCGAACTCCCAGGACCCCTATCTGAAGCATTGTTCGTTGACTCACCGCATCTCTCCTCCCACCAGTTCTCGGTTCTTCTCAACATCTCGCGTTGTCTGATTGACGACTGCCCTGTGCAATTCCGCAGCCAATTCTTGCCCCCATGCTGTCGACTCTGTTCACCAACATTGATCGAAAAGTTACCACGGAATGGGAGATCATTGAACAACGCAGGAATGGAATTTCGGACGGAGATCTCACCACGGAGATGAAGTCTGAAAGTGTCCTTCGTCAGTTGACTTACTCTGCTGTGATCATGGTAGCCAGTCTATTCGATCCACAGAGAGGTGGTAAAGCCTCCCTGATCCGTCAGACCTTTATAAGCATATCACACCCAATACTGACGGAGCTCTCAGACCCAGATGGGACTGAATCGGACCCCAGTGCACCCCAGCCGACCCCGAACCTCTCTGATTCTATCCGCCATTTCGTCCTCTCCTCCCCACAGATATTTGAGCCAGTCATGCTCTTCTGTACGCACGCTCTTCGCATGCGCGACACACGCAGCGGCAGCATTATCACCCGCGTCATTCGCTCAATTCTGCAAGACTTTGCGCCCACAAACGATACCCCGGACACCCAAACAATCGCGACCATCCGCGAATTCATATGTACCGATGTCCTCACAGCATGCATTTCATCTGTACATGAATCATACTTTGTCGATATGCAGAAGGACCTCGCCCAGCTAATTGCATCAATTTGGTGCCTCTATGGCTTCTGTAGCGAGACCCCTCGTGCTGTTTTCCTCAGCTTGCCAGGAATCAGCGCAGATAAAGTGGCCAGTACCGAGTCTGCACTTCATCGCACTACCTCGCCAAGGCAGCAGCGTGCATTAGTGTTGGAGCTTCTTGAGCCCTTGCGCGGCATCAGTGTTGCCGAGCAAGGGAAGATACTGGGATCTCGCGAGGAACGTCGTAAGGCCCGTTCAGCATTGCAGGAGCGGTACATGACCAATGAAATGGAGACCCAGCACCAGAATCACCGTGTCGATATCAACGATGGTCCTGATCTTGGTGGTGTGGCTGATCTATTCGGATAGGCCAAGCATCATGTCCTTTAGACAATGAAGAGTATAGATATGCTGTGGTGCTCTCGAGCTTGTTGATTCTTCATTCCACATACCATGGATGGTCCATCTCCATTCTGTACACCACTCGCTGCCCGACTCCCATCTTTACAGTGTCACATTTCCCCTGCTTTCTGTCTAGATCTGCGTTGCAGCTTTATCAACTACCCCCGTCGTTAGCGAGCAACGCTTTGCAAGAGATGATATAATAAACAACCCACATTGCATTAAGTACAAATATATTACTTTCTCTACAGTTAGCTTATTTGTGGTTTTGCCACGGGATGAAAACTTTGAACGAGCAAAGAAATAAGACATATTGCAAAAAACCGAACTAAACCCTTCACTAGGCAAGTAATATCTACAATGTTTTCCTCGAAATGGCTTCGAGACGATTCACCCCCAGCTACCACCACAATGCTTCTAGCTCTCCCACAACGATCAGAAAGGCCCAGTTCAGTCCGTATACCATGGAGGCAAGGGTTCACCCAACCAAGCATCCCAAAACACCAGCATCATACAGAGTCAAAAGGAGGGAAATGAGGTACAATATCGCTCAAGATAAGTGTGACATTGTCAGACTGTCTATCGAGTGAGATTGGCGGGGGTATAGGCGAAAGTAGGGCGGACAAAGCTGTCAAGGCAAGTAATATTAGCATGAATCTAGGAAATGACATAGCGTCAAGCTGCGCTTGCATAGAACTTACCGGTCAGAGTTGTAGACCTTGGCATCGGTACCGAGAAGCTCCTTCTCGCGCGCCTTGTCGGCGTAGTGCCGACGGACCTGATCGCGGTCCTCCTCGGCCTGAAGGAGAGGAGTGAGGTGCAGACGGGACCAGATCTTCTCACGGGCGAGCTCACTGTGTTCACACACATATTAGTCATTGAGTTCACTTCGTGCTTCCGCTAGCCGGTTTGCATCGGGTTCCAATTGCGGTTCGCTCGGGTCGATCGGAGGTAGGGAAGGAGCCTGTTGCTGGGCGAAACGTACCGCTGCTCACGGACACCGTGGAAGTACTTGTAGAAACCGTAGGCCATAATAACGTGCATGCCAATCATGTAGTAGGCGGGCTTGAAGCCGCGGGCGGGGATGTTTCGCTATAGAAAGTAAGAAACGAAACTGTGAGCTTGGATGTCTGTGTGCTGGGCGCGCAGGGCCATTGGGGGCCTGGAAACTGGGTTATATGGCTTACCTTGTACTGGACTTGAGCGTAGCCCCCCGTTGGGGGCATATCCTGAGGCATTGTGACGGTAATGAGCGGGTTAAGGGCTTGGAGGGATAGTGAGGAGCCGCTGTGACGATTGGAGAAGTTGGGTCTGTATGGTCACGTGAAATGTGCACAGTAATGAGGGCTGCGGCGCACGTCATTGGTTGATGGGTTTCGGGGCGGGCGCTTTTTGAACTTTTGATCTACAGTCGACGACAGCCCACCTTTATCTTTTGCTTGCCAATTCCACTACACGACGATGGAGGAGCAAGAGCGACCTCGGAAATTAGCCAAAATTGACCACGACGAAGATACCACCCACGAGATGCTCGGCCCTGCCATGACTGGAGCTGTTGATGTTGCTGGCAACGAACCAGAGCCCGAGTGCGCTCAGATTGGCAATGAACCTCTCGATCTCTCAGAATTTACGGTTCAGAAGGATAAAAAACCCGGCAATGAATCTACACCTCATGATGGTGGCGAGGTAGCCGCGCCTGTTATGTCAAAAAATCAAATGAAGAAACTACGCCGCGCGGAAGCTCATCAGCAAAAGCGCGCGCTTCAAAAGTCCCAGAAGAAGGAAAAGATCATACAAAAGCGAGATCGTCGCAGGGCTATGGTCGAGGAGGCAAGGGAAAAAGGCGGCGAGGAAGCTGTCAACGAGCTACGCCAGTTATGGCGAGGCAAGAAAGCCAAGCACACCAGGTCAACACTACTACCTCTGACGTTCGTGATGGATTGCGGCTACGACGAGCTCATGTCTGATAGAGAGCGCATCTCATTGGCTGGCCAGCTCACGCGATCATACTCAGACAACAGCCGCGCAGTATTCAATGGGCACATGATGTTCTCGTCATTCGACAAACTACTGAAAGAGCGATTCGACACTGTGTTGGCGTGCCATAAAAACTGGAAGCGTGTTCGCTTTTTCCAGGAAGACTTTGTGCATGCTGGTGAAGTGGCTAAAGAACAGATGACAGCCGCGCGAGGAGGTCAGCTCGCTGGCCCGTTCGCTGAACAAACCGATGCGACGCCTGAGGACGGGGAAATCATCTATCTCAGCAGTGATAGTGAGAATACTTTGACCGAGCTCAAGCCTTACAGCACTTATATTGTTGGAGCGCTAGTGGATAAGAACCGACACAAGGCAGTTTGTTACAACCAGGCGGTTGAGAAGGGAATCAAAACTGCCAAATTACCTATCGGGCAGTACATCCAAATGGCCCATCGTCCGGTACTGGCCACCAACCATGTCATTGAGATCATGCTTGCATGGTTGGAGCTTCGTGACTGGGGCAAGGCGTTCATTAAGGTTATTCCCACCCGGAAAGGCGGAGCTTTGAGGGAAAACCAGAAAGAGGGCGATGACAACGCCGAGAATGACGCTGAAGATGCGAATGAGGAAGAGATGGAAGCAGAGCAGATGAAGCAGCTGGATGATATTGCCGCCTTTGAGGAAGAAAGCGACGAAAATGAAGAGAAGGAATAGTTTGAGCTATCCAAAATACGAATGTCTTGTACATATTTACAACGCCAACAGCGAGACAGAGAGTCAGCGATTGAGATATGAAGATACGCTTGTATATATAGTCTTACATTGATTGTCAACTGCAGGGGATTCTTGAGCTCCTTAAGCTCTACTGTCCCCTTTGTCAATACTTTACTAACTTCTGCCAGGTCTATAAACCTTTTGTAACTGAGGCCATTTACCCCTTATGTATATTCTCGCTTTCCTTGACTAAGAGACGGTTGTGAAGTTGAATGTAGAAAAGCATATTGCCTATTTAGGAATAGAGCGAAGTCGGGTGCTTACCTCAGCAATTAGCCACAACAGCCACAACCTTGGAATCTATGACGGAAGCGATTTTCATTGTGATTATTGACTTGCCTTTTGCTTCTTCTCGCTATCCTCTTCATATAGGCAGAAAGAGCCTTTGCTACTGCGTCTGCTTCTTTCGCTCCTTCCAACATTACTTTCCTTTCACTTCTTCTTGCCTCCCTTCCTCTCTCAACTGCCTCTGGCATTTTTGTTGGCAGCTGCCCCTCGCAACCATGTTTATGCTCCGCAACGGTAAGCAACGCGCTTTTCATGCCCCGCCAAACCCCTCCATACAAGGGCATATTTTTGGTTTTTTTTTTGCCATTTTGAACTAGTGAACTGATCTCTTGTCTGCTCCGAATTCAATAGTGAGCAAATTTTTGTTTGGTGACGCTTCGAAAGAATCCATCATCGAAATTCCCCAAGGCGAACTGTATCTGGTCCGCCCACAGTCGCCCAAAGGTTACTCTGAGCTTATCTTTAAGGACGCTGCTGCCACGATCCGACGTACCGGCCAGGACTTCCAATACCAGCTTGTAATCCAGAGAGCGTATGAAGAGGGCGAGGAAGAACTTGCGGACGACGACGGCGAGCAAGGTACCGGCGACGGCCTAGACAAGGACGAGAAGGTTTTCCTTTTGGACCAAACTCTCCATTTTCGCTCTGAACTCCGCGACGGAGGCTCAAAGATATTGGCCTGGGATGATCTGAGTGGCGACGCTGGTGATCTCTTTGAATTCATTTGTGACTCTTCTGTCCCTTCAGACAAGGTTGCCACTTTCGAGCTTGCCGCCCTCCAGTGTCAGTACGAACGTAAACACCGCCGCAGTGCACAGAAGGCTACCGAGGCAGAGCTGGAGGAGTTCTCATACAACGAAGAGAAGCCCATTCCATCTGCTAGTCCGGTCTCTTCGCCGACCAGAAATTCCTTGACAGCAGAGGATTCAGCTGCGGCTATGGCAAAAGACGTGGAATACGCCCAGTCCAAAGGACAAATCAAGACTGCCACTCTTGAGGAGAAACCGACTACTGCCCCGCCGTCTGCAGCCCACCCCGAAGCTAAGGAGATTCTCTGCAAGGAAAATGCCGAGCTGCATTTGTTCGACTTTTCCACTGGAACCTTTGTGCTCCAGGAGTCGGGCATCGTTGCAACTGTCTCGGAGGTCGGTACTTGGCAGTACTGGCTCCAGATTGCTGGCAAGGATAAGGAGTGGTTAGGGCAAGCTGTCGTCGCCGATATCAACCCCGTCTTCAACTTCGAATATCTTTCATTCATTTTCAACCATTACGGCGAAGATGGTTCGGCCTACTCCTGGCTCCTGCGGTTCAAAGACCAAGCCTCGGAGGAACGGTTCCAGGAGGGTCTAATGCAGGCGCTGTGGGAACAACTCAATGAGTTGAAGTGGACTAAAGTCAAGGAGAATGACCGAGATTATGTTCTTGACGCCTTCCAGGATCTTACTATGGAAGATGCCGACGACAAGCCAGAGGAAGAAGTCGAGGAAGAGGAAGAACAGGCCGAAGAGGAGTATGATGGTGACCAGGACGATGCTCAGCGTAGTGAACACTACGACAGCGATGAAGAGGAAGAAGATGTTGTCACGCGGGATGCAGATGGAAATGTCAACTCACAATTGGCAGTTGGCTACAAGCATGATCGATCATTCGTTGTGCGCGGTTCCAAGATCGGAGTCTTCAAGCACACCGCTCACAACAACCTTGAATTCTCCACGACTATTTCAAAGGTTGAGACCCCCAAGGGCAACCTTTTCAGCCCCAAGAAGGTCATGCTCCATGCTGAGGATCAGAACATGATTCTTCAGAATGGAGATGATCCCAACTCGCTGTACAAGATGGATCTTGAGTATGGCAAAATCGTCGACGAATGGAAGGTCCACGACGATATTGCCGTGGAGACGTTTGCTCCCGAAAATGTAAGTTACCTCGCGTGTCTTGAAACCTATCCCATGATAAACTGACAAAACTCGCAGAAATTCGCACAAATGACCGCGGCGCAGCCATTTGTCGGTGTCTCCAAGAACGCCCTTTATCGTATCGATCCTCGTCTTTCTGGCAGCAAGCTTGTCGACTCCGATCTCAAGCAGTATGCCAGCAAGAATGACTTCTCGGCTATGGCTACTACTGAGAAGGGATACCTTGCTGTCGCGTCTAACAAGGGTGACATCCGCATGTTCGACCGTCTGGGCATCAATGCGAAGACTCATATCCCGGCTCTCGGCGAGCCGATCATCGGTCTTGATGTATCTGCAGATGGACGTTGGGTCCTGGCAACTTGCCGTACCTACCTTCTCCTAATCGATTCGCTGCAGAAGGAAGGCAAGAATGAGGGCAAGCTCGGATTCGAGCGTGCATTTGCGAAGGACTCGAAGCCTCAGCCTCGCCGTCTCGGCTTGCAGCCCGCTCACGTTGCCCAGTTCCAGCACGAGACGAAACAGCCTCTCTCATTCACCACGGCACGCTTCAATACTGGTGTCGACTCCACGGAAACTAGCATCGTTACCGCTACCGGTCCTTTCATCATTACATGGAGTATGAAGAAGGTTGTTGCCAACCGCAAGGACCCGTACACCATCAAGCGTTATGGTGAGAATGTCATGGCCGATAACTTCCGGTTCGGCTCTGACAAGAATGTCATCGTTGCTCTGCCAAACGAGGTTAACATGGTCGCCAAGCGTACCTTCCAGAAGCCTACGCGGGAGAGTATCGCTGGTCCCGCCACACCAAACCGTGCGCGCAGCGGATGGAGCAGTCGTCTTGGCAAGGACGACATTGTCAACTCGCCGTACTAGTCTTCTCATTCCTTTCCCCTGTGCCTCTCGTAGGCCCCTTGACTTTCTTCTATTTTTGTACCATTACCCATACCCCCTGATGTTTTTGTGCTTTTCCATCTTTTCCAATGTTGTGATTTCCTTTGCGGGGTTTTGCTCGTCCGACGCCGCTGGAGATCTCTATATTGGGGTCTTCTTCACATTCACTACTCTGTTTCTGTTATCTGGAATTCTTGGGCGATATTGATTTAGAGCTAAAGGGTGGCTCTCATTAACCGAGATTTTATTCTGCAAGGTAGCTAGCTAGTTCAAACAATTCACAAATGAAATATCCAGCAATGAATCACTTATCATAGAGGAGTTTTGTCCATCGATAATCATCCTCGTCATCATATATAGACTCTATTACGTAAGGATCTTGGGTGGGATCTCGGGATGATCCCGAGGTCCACGAGTCCCATTTAGGCTTAGCGGTGATCCCTTGTAGGCTGATAACCTTGTAAACCACCTTGAAAGGGTGTAAGAAGCTTCATTCAATATATTTGTATAGGATAAACAAGAGAAAAAACTGCATTTCAATACGAGAGAGAGAAAGAGAGAGAGAGAAAGAGACAGCACGTAAACTACCAATCAGAAATGGAGATTCGTGGATTTAAAAGAAGAGATAACAGCATCCATCCATGTATAGATCAGATCATATTGAAATGTTGTCGAGCGGTGTAATCAGCGGTCAAGAACTGGGCCTAAACCCAAGGGTTTGATTTAAAATCAGATGTCCTGGACCCTTGTCCTCCGTACGGAGTATATTGAGCCAATGACAAATACAGAGCTGCTTTTTCTTTGTCTCCCGTATGTGGATACACGTAGCTCGGCAAGATGGGAGGCCGACAAGAGGTACACTTAAGAGTTTTGGTCATCATGGTTTCCTCCTCTTTTTGTACAAATAATATCTGACTTTTCTTCTATCACATAAACGACAACCTAAGAAGTAAGGTCCCACAGAGCTTACCTTCATTTTGGTTATATTAATCTGAAGTGACTTAGAGATGTCTTCCGAACCCACCGAACATATTGCCATCCATCTTCAACAGCGGCCCAAGAGAGATATTTTCCCCGGGGAGACATTCGCTGCACAAAAGCATACAACTCCCACTGCAGCGGACCTTCAAGATGGAGATGTTGTCTTCGAAACCCTTTATCTAAGCCTGGATCCGGCCATGCGTGGCTGGTTGGACGACGAACGTTCATATCTCTCTCCAGTTGCAATCGGCGAAATCATGCGCGGTCATGCTCTGGGCCGTGTGACTTCCTCGCGGTCACAGAAGTTTCCAGTCGGCTCCTATGCCGTTGGCATTGTAGGCTGGACCGAGCAGGCAATTGTCAATGAAAGCTCCCTAGACGCCGTGCCTGCGCCCAATCCTGTCGATGGAGGTCGCTTGACTGATAATATGAGTGTCCTTGGCATGACAGGGGTCACTGCGTACTGGGGCATGGTCGAAGTTGGCCATGTCAAGCCCGGGGACTTTGTGGTTGTCTCCGGAGCAGCGGGAGCAACGGGGTCTATTGCTGCACATATTGCAAAAATCCTTGGTGCGACGGTGTACGGCATTGCAGGCTCGGATGAGAAGTGTCGTTGGTTGGTTGATGAGCTCAAATTGGATGGGGCGTTGAACTATAAGAGTGACGATTTCGCCGAAAAGTTCAAAGGCTTGGCGCAAGGGAAGATCGATGTCTTTTATGATAATGTTGGAGGTGAAGTTCTCGACTTGGCTCTTCTCTGTGCTAACAAGAACGCTCGATTTGTCATGTGCGGTGGGGTCAGTCAATACAATGCACAGGAGGTCCAAGGGCCAAAGAACTACATGATGATATGGAGGATGCGGATTCGCATGGAAGGCTTTATCGTCTTTGATCATATGGATAGAGTCCCCGAAGTCAAACGGAAGCTCGGCGAGTGGCTTGCGCAAGGTCGATTGCAGCGTAGGGAAACTATTGTGCGAGGGGGTATATCGCAAGCAGAGCACACCTTGGTGCAACTGTATCATGGCGTGAATACAGGTAAGCTTGGCATCCTATGACTCCCTGGATATATGTCTACTCCCCACATCTAATGCTTTTATGCTGAACGTCTCGCAGGAAAATTGCTTGTCGAGGTCAAATCCCCTTGACAGTTTACCACAGGATTCCCGATGCTTCCTCCTGTCTTCCTGTATAATCTCCTTGGAGGCATATTGGCTCTGAATTGAATTCTTCTAGGCTGACTGATTATCATCCCAACGTCTCCCTTGAGTGTTTCTATGTATTTCTTACCCTCACAATCTCCAACCATTTCTCAAAGACCATGAGTGTCAGTAAAGGATGGATCGAAATTAGCTTCGCCATTTTGCTCTCCTCTAGTCTACATTGGCATCTCGCAGCCCTAACTTGCTTGTTGGCGACTTTTCTTCTGATACATCCTCAATCCTTTGGCAGTGATGTTCCAATCCATTTGGAGCAGTGTACACCAAGTCAATCTATCATAAGAAAGATCGTCATAGGAAGTTGACATATAAAGTCGACATCATATCAATATGTGAGATTCAAGTATTGACCTTACGTACATCGGGATTCATATTCAGCCGTTTCGTTTTGTTGACATCTGATCGTTGGCATTTGATCTTTCATCCAAGGCCAGGCCATGCTCGTTTGTTTGTGGGGACATGGTTTCTTTTTCCTTCCTGTCTCTTTATCTTCTCTTCAAGTCTGCTATCAGCTTCTGATAGGATCGTTTGACTGCACTTCTTGTTCCCTTTTGTTGAGATGTTTCCGATTCCAACCCCTTCGGCTGAGGAGTTTCGGATTCCCATTCCAGCAATGTTCTGGAATCAGACAAAGTGTGTGGGTGGTTCAGGCCTATTATTTGTTTTTTTTTGGCGAAGCACTTTCGAAGCAAATCGATGGCTTCAGCGTCGCGACCAGAAGATTTCCAGGTATGCGCCAGATTAGACATACTCGTCAACGTGTTGGGATGATGCTCGCCGAGCTTCGTCTTACTCGTCTCCATCACCTGCACTTGGAGCGGCTCGGCCTCCTTCCACCGACCCTGGTCGCAAAACGTTAATGCGAGGTTCGACATACTCGTCAACGTATCGGGATGATCCTCGCCGAGCTTCGCCTTACGAGTCTCTATCACCTGTACTTGGAGCGGCTCGGCCTCCTTCCACCGACCCTGGTCGGAAAACGTTAATGCGAGGTTTGACATACTCGTTAACGTGCTAGGATGATCCTCGCCGAGCTTCGCCTTACGTGTCTCCATAACCTGAACTTGGAGCGGCTCGGCCTCCTTCCACCGACCCTGGCTCCAAAACGTTAATGCGAGGTTCGACATACTCGTCAAAGTGTCGGGATGATCCTCGCCTAGCTTCGCCTTACGTGTCTCCATAACCTGAACTTGGAGCGGCTCAGCCTCCTTCCACCGACCCCCAAGCCGGAATGCTGTTGCCAACATAGATATGCTGTCAATGACTTCTTTGTGTTTATCACCTAATAAAAGAATTCTTTGCTCTGTTGATTTTGATGCCATTTTTGTTGTATCCGCGATATTGCCGCTTCGCCACGCATACCATGCACCTCTGTAAAGTAGCGTAGCCCATTGCCGTTGTAACTCTATTGATGTTGGCCGTTGTGACATCGCGGATTTTACATGGGGAAATAGTAGCCTGCACCTCTCCCAGTTCTCATATTCTCCGGTAGGAAACTCGGCATCAAGGGTGTTAATGAATTTATCCTTCCATTGGTCGATTTGTCCATGAGATTCCAACCACGCACGCGTAGTCAGTTGTACCAGTCGGTGCATCATAAAGGTGCTTTTCCCACTGATAGTTATGAATGAATAATCCCTTAGTGTTGTGATGTCGTCTTCAAAGTCGGGGCTGGTATCAGAGTCGGATATCTCTCCGTCACTGACGTCTTCTTCAAAATCGGGGCTGGTATCGGAGTCGGATATCTCTCCATCACTGGAGTCATCAAGGCCTAGACCAGACTCAGATATCGCCCTGTCACTATAGTCACTTGGAAGCTCAGAGGCTGATCTTGATCCGTAGTTGGCCTCAGGTTGATGTCGGACAAGGTCTTCAGGTATCCCTTGGCGGTCGAAAAAGCTCATAAGTGAAAGCAAATCCGCTGCGGATGGCCTTGTCTGGCGTATATAATCGAATGATATTTGCCAAGTCACCAGGATGGAATTCTTTGCTTCCCTGTCCCGATAGATGTGACCTGCCTCTTTTTTCAAAAGCTTCGTCGCTTCCCGGTCACTCTTTTGGAAATCTGTCAGGTATTGTGACACCGAACAGCGAGGTGCCCGATTTCGAATATAGCTGGCGGCTTGTATGATCGCTAGCGGCATGAACTCTAACACGTCCACCAACTGCTCACTTTCTTGCCTTTCACTTTCTTGGTTTTCCCCTAGCTTTATTTGGAGTAGTTCCAGTGCTTCGGATCTTTCCATAGGGTTAACCTCAACAAGGCCCTTGTGGTCAACCATCTTCAAGGCCACCTCTCTATTCCGACTCGTGATGATGACAAATCCATTTTGGCTTCTAGGAATGTATTCCAAGAGTGGTTTACTCGAGGCGTTTGCTGGGCTTTTTATGGAAAGAAGCTGGTCATCATCGACATTGTCAAGGATGCACACCCATTTCCCTATCTTCTCATCCCGGAGCCAGTTCTCGACCAGTTTGAAAATATTCGGCTGAGGGTTCTGACGACCCGGGATTTTGACCTGGTCTGCGATATCCCGGAAACTTTGCTCGAAGCGGGATTCGTTAGACCCGTGCACCCAGATAACCCATGTTGCCGGCGACTGGGATCGGATCTGGTGAGAGTATTCGATAGCAAGTTGCGATTTCCTTCGGGTTGTGAGTAATAGAAAACACAACAACTGATCTTATGTACTTACCCAACACCGCCGAGGCCAACGAGCGCTATCCTCGAGCCTAGGATTAAGCTTTTCTCGCGAATCTGACGGAGCAGTCCGTCACGACTGACAAACTCCTGGTCTTGCGCGAATGGGACGGTCGATAGCGGTTTGGTTGGAGTTTCTGGTCGCTCTATCGTCGGAAGCGATGGTTAGTTGGTTGATTCTAACTGTGTCGAGTTCCCGACTCACCTAGAGCTATATTGATGGGACCGGTATTAACCCCAACCTGAAGACCAGAGTTGCTGCCATAAAATGAATTCGATGTCATGGTCAGATAACTCTACTTTCTTTGTATTTTTGCAAAGGATTGGTTTGTCTGACTCTCAGGTGAAAGAGGGGCATGTCCTCAGCCCCAGAGTCCACCATCAGGTGACTGACTCTACGGCGCTAAGAGAGGGAATCATATTGGCGGACAGCTCACACCGTGCGATAACTACATAGCCAGATCCTTCCAGGTATAAGAAAGTTTTGATATTATTAATTTACTGTACTACTACAAGACCCTGCCCCTACCAGCTGTCCTCCAATGCACAGTATAAATAATACAAAGTCACGAGTTGGATGTTGCTACGATGCTAATACTCGGCCCAACATCTGACTCCCAACGTGAGTATAAATCCTGACCCTCCCTAGGAGCGAGTACTAGTGAAATTGATTGTACCCGTGCTGTGACCGACCTGTACACCCGTATTACCACCTGAAAAACTATTGTGATATGTGGTGGCAACCGGCGAGAAGGTCAATTTCGAAAGTACTTGGGACACAGCCTTCGAGGCAGTTTGCTCGGCTTCCAGTACGCGGGATTGCTGTTCGGTCTCTTGAATGGCTAGAGCTCGTTGAGCGCCACCGTCATCGTCCTCATCTTCGTCCTCGGGACTTTCAAGTTCCTTCTTACGCTGCAAAGCTTCATCTTGTTTCCTCTTTATGAGTTCGGTATTCTCTTGGATAGAAGTCTCGAGAACCCGCAGTTGCATCTTTGTCTCTTCCCGTGAAGTTGTGGATGCATTTTCCGATCGAATCAGTATAAACCTTCAATCAGTGAATTAGCACAATTTCTCTAGCATAACACTTAGTTACTTACAATTGGGCGCTCCCGATGGCAAACTGGACGATAGCCTGACAAGAGGAAACATGCGTCCTGAACGTCTGAATCTTTTCCTTGTTCCACAAGCCGACTGATAGTCGATCTCTGAGGGAAAGCTTCGCAGTGCTAGAATGCTTGGTCCATTGCTCAAGCTTCTTTGTAAATTCCGCGCATGCCTGCCCGCAATTATTCACGGCTTCGGCGACACCAGTCTTCTCCAGATCATTTTTCGTTTCATCATAAGTTGCCCTATCAGAAATCCGAAGGCCCTCGAGAGCGGAAAGTGGAAGCTGTATGGCTTCCAAGTTGGATGTAACATCTTGCAGCACATCTTCCGCTTCCTTGAGGCCATCAATAAGGCTCCGAAGATTATTGATGCTGGATAAAGCAAATCCTGTAATTCCAAGAGCACCGGCGGTGATGCTGAAGGGATCCATCTTGTTTATATTGGGATGGGACAGTCGTGGGAGTCGTATATCCTTCAAGTGAGGATGGTGGATATTGGACAAAATCAGTTGCTGGATACTTAATCATCCAGGAACTTGGAGACATCAAGGAACTTGGAGATCACCACACAATCTCACCTGTCACATAGGCGCCTAAAATCAAAATGGTGACTGAAACCTTGGCCGCGGGGCAGCTGAAGCCGCTAGTACGTGGCGGACTGCTATTTGCGGGGCTGTGAGGCGACAAGTCAATCGGCATATTATGATAGCCCGAGAAAGCTCGTGCATCGCTGACTGCAGGCCTGAAAATATAATAACGCCCGACTTTCTAATTAATTTTACTCTTCCCTTAATCACAGCGTTCGGTGCTGAGGAATATGAGCGGTAAGGTGGGTGGGTGGGAAGAGCGCTTGTGTGCGAGATTGTAATTTTGAAACCCCTGGAGACCACACAAGTCTAATATCGAAGTTATTGCCAGGATGTCTCTCAGATATGCAGTCTTCAGAATCGACGGTTGAATGTATACATTATCATGCATTAATTATATAAACAAACCCCGATGCCGCTGGTAGCACAGTGTAGTACGGCGATTAGCGCCGCCTGTCATCCTATGACGTCTAGCATGGACGATACCACTAACCACGTGCTCAAACCTGTGCAGTGGGGTGAGTTTCTGGACATCCACTCGGATCAAGGCCTGATGGTACTTTCACGTCGGATCGATAGTGATGAGTATGTCAGTGGGATAGAAAGTGTGGAAATGAGGAGCTGCAACAGATGCTACCAAACGCAGACCTTAACGACTTGAGTTGCACTGGTACTGCGATACTGCGATATCGCAGCTGTATCATTGTACTTTTACGTCGGAGGATGTGTGTGAACCGAGGGAAGGGCGTGTTTATATTTAACTCAATTTAACTAAATTTAAGCACACGTCGGCCCGGCCCTACTCCAAGGTGGAGAAAGGAGTAACTGCGAGGCTCGAGCCAATCATAAATTAAAATGCTTTGATTTTCTAATAGAGAAACCCCAAGGCGCCATATGTGAGGGATGTCATAGACTGACAGCCAAGGAGACACCTAGTACTCCGTACTTGCCATACGTTCACGACAACTAGTAAAAAAGTGAAATACTCATTGTCCGGCTGCATATTAGTTGTGCCCATGTTTCTAGTAAACGGTACGGAGTACATGAGGAGTTCCGGTTTTGCGTCCCGTATGCATACCGTTTACAACCAGTATGACCTTCAGGGGTAGTTCAGCGGACCAAATACAAAGAAAAGGGGTCCAAATAGGGTCCAAGCACTAGACGTATAAGGCAGCGGGACACATTCTGGCCTCCACAAAGCGTAGTGACCCTAATTCCTGACGGTTGGTTGGTGCTTGTCAAGTATTCTGTATGTTGTATATCCTCTTTCCTGACCTCTTCTCCTCGTCAGACTCCCTACAGACCAACAAACAGCGCACGTTCCCCCTCCTGCCTCTGGGAAGCTGTGCGGTCAGCCGATCAACGCTCATGACTCGGGAAAATCAGCACGGCCATGGTCTTTAGGGAAGAGTTGCTTTTTTCGCTGCCGGTCTTTTCCAAATAGAGTAGAGGCGCTAGCCTCATAGCATAGCTAGCCCTGCGCCTCAATTCGTAACAGACTTAAATTGAGATCTCACCTGTTCGCGTCTGATCTCATCTCCTCCTCTCCAACCTCCAACTTCTACCCACTTGCTCCCAGGCCTCTAGCGCTTCAAGCCTTAGAGACGAACGTAATGGCTAGATGCTTCGATTGGCGTGGAAATGAGGACCCCGCTCGAATTCCTTGCTCACAGGACGGGAGCCTTGCCCAGTGCTGCTCAGTGGGGGGTATGTTCCGCCAACGGTCTCTGCCTCCACACCGAGCTGGGCAGTAAAACGACTTACTGGTTAAATACCTGTACTGATCGTGACTGGATGAACGTGTCGGTTAAGACATGTCCCTCACAGTGCGCAACATACCAGACTTGTAGGCAGCCTGACCCCATCTTCCTTAAATAATTCCCAAGTCTAACTAATCCTTCTATCTAGGGGGCGGAAACGGCGTCAAAAGCTGCACCCTATCGACATTCTGCTGCTTCGGCCACGAGTCGTCCTGCGACTGCAACAACGCCACCGAGACCTTCTCCCTCGGAGAAATTTACGCTGTGACTACAATCACTAGAGCCACCGCCTCCCCATCAAGCACCGTCGCCCTATTAAGCACGTCTACAATCGCCAAATCTGATTCTTCTGCGACTCTAGCGCCGCCTGAATCGACAGGAGATACTGAAAGCGATGATGACCTCGGCTTGGGTCTCGGCGTAGGCCTAGGCGTCGGTATTCCCCTCCTCATTGGAGCCCTTGCAGCCTTTTGGTTCTTCCGCCGGCGACAGCGTAGGGCTGCAGCTAGGTCGGTCCCTAACGGAGCGGCTGCCCCATCGTTGCGGGATAAGATGGGGCCGTCGGAGCTGGAGTTAACTGTGCCTATGACTATGCAGCAGCGGCCTCCGCAGGAGTTACCGACGAGGCAGGCGAGGGCGCCTCTTGAGCTTCAGTAGCATGGCATATCATCGGGTTGTTTGTTGAGCTGAGTGTCATGTATTTGTTTTCTTTCTACCCCTGACCATTTATAGTTCGCGATTTTGCATATATAATTGGGGACGGATTGGTGCCAGTCATCTATAGGATTACAACTTGTAAAGATGTATTGGAAAATGAATGGGTCCTATTTGAATGCCTCGCTGATACCCTTCCTTGGCGCTAAAACACTATTATCGGTCTGGGTTGTATTATATCGATACCCGAGTCGATCATCGCCGTCGAGCAGCCTGGTCCCAATATACTTTACGGACACCACACGCTCAACTCGGACCTTTTACTATTATCACCTGTATGCGCTGCTTGTCGATGGCGCCGCGTCATAGACAAACGAAAGCGGCACAGGAGCTGTATCAGCTCCACTCGTGCATAAGCGCCAGCCAGCGGGTGAAGTTGGTCTTGAAGATAGCGCCATTTCCCCTTTGGGGTTTCAGCCGCATGGTTCGGGAACAAAGAAAGTGAAGCAAGAAACGTGGCAGACGTGCAGCCAGTGGGTTGCGGCGGCGCTGCAAGGGCATTGTTTCATGCAGCGCTGGCTCATTTAAGCGCTGTCTACTCCACCTGGGTAATTCACCCTCGCTGCGGCGATTGCCTAAAAGTACCCCTACGGCGCGAAATGCCAACAACTTGAAATAAATGGCTAGCTGAGGGCGCTGGGTTATAAAAGAGGTGTGTCTGACATTTTCCATCTGTGTCTAGACTCATAACAACTGATATTATACTCTTGCTTCTATTGTTCCTAGCCTCTGTCTACTACACGCGGTCCACCATCTAGTATTACCAGCCTACACCCCATTACAGCAAAGACAACATGTCTAGCGCACAGAGTGATTGGTGTGCGGTCTTCAACCCCTCCTTCGACATCGTAGCATTCGACCCTCTCGACCCGCAGAAGCGCTATCACGAAGGTATCTTTGTCGAAGATAATCACGAAACCCAGGACGGAGTAATGTTCCACGTCACGGGCGACATTATCGCCCCAAGCGGCATGTATTTTGATTTGAAGGAAGGGTATTCAGCGCAGGCTTCCGTCCATCTACACAGCTACCCGCAGATTGGATGGGTCCGACGAGCGGATTTCGAACCAGGGAGAATTGAGGCTATGTTGAGGGCTCTGCCGACGCCGACTAAGCAGCAGGGATTGAACTTCTGGGGGAAGGGCCCGTCATCTGGTTACCATGAGTATATCTGGACCAAAGAAAATGGGGAACCATATAGGCCTGGGGAGCAGCGACGACCGATCATTAAGTGTAATGAATGGACCCATCAGATGGCCATCCCCGCGTTGATTAATGCTGGCATTCTGCGCACTACGCGCTCCTAGAGTCGTGTACTGGGTTCTGGTTTGCTTCAGGTCTATGGATGTCTAGATGTAAGGCGGGAGAAGATGTTTCGGGTATTTGTTATTCAATTTTGTCATCAAGTTGATTGGTTAGTATATTTGTTTTGCTAACATAAGACGTTTATGTATATTATCCTACATATGTAAGCTCTTGAAATGTCACAGACCAGCATCCCTGTCCACCATCCGCATCACGGCCTGTTCCGCCGGCCAAACCTCAAGGAATTGCTGGATTTTTAAACACCAGTCACTATCCCAGTACATAAATGCAATCGGGGAGGATGCAACAAAGAACTCCCAGTATTGAGGATACCACCCAGCTTCCGCCCAGTCTATTAGCACAACATCAAACGACCGTCCCCCCTGCGCATTGCGACCGCTACTATTTTCTGCGACCATGATGTTCTTCTGCTGGACGTCTCCGTGCGTCAGCGTCGGCCGATGCCCCTTGAGGAGACTCGGCAGATATTCTTCGTAGTAGCGGACCTTATAGTCCGGCCTCCGATTCCGTTCAATATGCGCGCGGTAATTCCCAACCATGCCCGCGACGAAGTTTATTTCCCCAATATAGGGTCCTAAGGATCGCGGCAAGCCGCCCCTCCGGTTATGAAACAGGTAGTGGTGGAGGCAGCCGCCATCCAGACCGCCATAGAAATCCGGCCTGGGACACGGAACCTGTCGGAGATTATCGAATATTTGCCGGAGTTTATCAATAATATCGTCTTTCTCGTCCTCGGCCAATGATGGCCAAATTGCGTCTAGCTGCTTGCCGGGGATGCGCTGCATGACCAGGAACGTTTCAAGCGTCTCGGTGTCCTTGTACATAGCGTACAGTCGAGGCGCTGGAATTGTGGGGACATGGCGCTCGAGAAATATCAGGACCTGGCCCTCGTATTCTTTGACGCCGCGGCCGAATTTCACCAAGATCTCGTCATTTATTGCGACTACCTTGTATACGCGGTCAAATAGAATATTTGTGCAAGCACGAATTTCATCCTTGCTCGGTAAGGGGGATTCAGGAAGCGAGTTGCTGTTAAAAGGCAGCGGTTCTGGTTGCCAGACCATTGCGAGGGGCTTGAGTGTGTGTGTGTGCCCTGGTGAGGTAAGTTGGAAGAAGGTCGTGGGCGGCTACAACAACCTTGGAATCTGTTCCAACTTACGTGGTGGGTCTTGAACAGGCCTGTGGCTGCTACCACGTGGCCCATATTTGCGGCCATGCTGCTGTGGCGGTGCATTAAACCACCACCCCCTTGTCACATGGAGACTCCAGCTCGCTACAACATACTCTCCCCAGGAAACGGGGCCCACAAGTTCAACTCAGATACGGGCGACTAGATATGTATGCCACCCGACACATAACTCTCTCATTGGTTTATATTGCCAGGAAATAATTTAGATCCACTCTCACTTCACAAGTACTATTGTTGAATCTATACTTACTTTATATACTAGTTAGTATTTTTATAAATGAATACTGTTGAACAACCTGTTACTATATAGGGAGAAAGCAGAGAAAGAATTATTAATTGATTAAATAGAAATGCAGGGGATTATATACCCTGCTACAACCATCTAAACTCTGCTCGATTATAGTAAACAAGCTAACAAATAGTAAATAACGAAAAAATAGGGCTTAGTCTATAGTTAGCAAACATATATATATGGGAGATTGTTCAACAATTACTATATTAAATTTTTAACACTGGGCTCTTTATACTCCTAAGTCTTAAGTCTTGGATCTTGATTTCTTGATTTCTTACTATCTTAACCTGAATTGAACCTGAGTTGTAATCGCACCACCACCTACCCGACCATGCATTTAAACCACTATTTACAAATAACCACCACCACTATCCATATATTAATTTGCACCCCTGCTATATCTAGCTGACATTGCAACTTTGCGTTCCTCCTCAGCTAAATCCCTTGCTTTTTGAGCCTGTGCTTTAACTTCTAAAGCCTTGGCATGCTTTGCATGCTGCCGTGTTAGCTAGCTTCTTAGGATCGGTATCATCCCTTTTCTTTATCATCCGATTTGTACTAGTAGGACCGAGTACTAAATTAGATGCTCTAAGAATCGATTTCCTATTTCTCGGCTTATTCCGACCTTCTTTATGGACTTGAGAGTTCTTTAAAGAATCCTTGACTACATTAAGCTGTTGGGACAAAAGCGTGTTTGTATCTATATTTGTTTGAATATGTCCTTTTACCTCCTGGTTTGATTATCTGTATCCTTAATAAGCCTATTATTAAGCCTATTAACTCGAGTAATAGTTAACTAGTATCTAGGGGTGAATTAGTGACTAAGGTCGGTATTTTGGGGGGGAGGTACACGGTCTTGTCTATATAAAAATAGAGCCCATGAGAAGAAGAAGACACATGTCACCCATGGTCTTTAATGCTAAGCATCATAGATCCAAGGTGATATAGACTCAGATAACAAAGAAACGTAAAGCAACCAGAAATCTAAGAGACTGGGCAACAATCACTTGTATAACCCGTGGAGTTAGCACTCCTTATATGACATTCTGCTCTGCTCTCGTTCAAAGTCCAGAGGCCGTAGTTCCCACTTTGGCGATAAAAGAATGTGAGCAGTGTCATCTCTACACATCTACAAGGTCAATATTATTAGCAGCCAGGATCTATTTTATTCAATATCTATCCTAAGCCTTGTACAGTCTGTTGACTTTTCACAGATGCATTGTCCGATATCCATGCTGACCATTCCAGTGCCTCAAATACGGGTGCAAGGATGAAGGGATGAAATCAAGCATCATCCATTATCGTAATATAGGACGAAAGTGGTAGTAGGCTTGATGTTCTAGAATAGAAGCGTGGCTAATGATACTATGGAAGGAGAGAACGTCTGAAGCCAGAATTCTGTACAGTCACATGAGAAACCATGCGTGGTCTCGCCGTGATATCGCCGTGGAGATGGTTGGCAGGTTTGCTAACGTTTTGGTAGCCTCAGGCCGTCGAGGTCGTTGTTTACTTCAACATAAGTGTCCCTCATCTTTCTTTTCCTTCTTTTCTTTTTTCTTTCTTCTTCCCATCACCGCAATCTGTTTATCCTCCCTCAATCACAGACAAGGTGTTCTATCTTTATTGTTACCTGCTTCTATCTGTTACCTCTAAGTCTTACCATGCCTGCTCCAGATGAGCCCAATGGGGCTCTGCCTGGGCCACATGCAGACCAAGTCTTCCTCCTTGATACTATTGACAAGCTCCGAGGTCTCGGTGTTGGTGTATTTGTTGACTTACCGCAGATGATTATCTGTGGTTCCAAGTCCAACGCAAAACGCTCTATTATCGAGTCAATTTCTCGTGTGAACTTTCCAGTGAGGAAGGATTTCCACACTGGGTTTGTTACAGAGATCATCTTACGCCACCATTCGACTTCACGCTTCAAAGTTAGCGTCCGCCTTGGACAATCGACGAAAAGCGACGGAGTCCTCGAGAAACTCAAGACGTTCGTGCCCACCGTTCATGAAAGTTCTGAGCAGTCAGTATCACTGATTGAACAAGCCACCGAACTCATCAGCCCCCCGCCGAGGATGGCTTCAGTGACGATATCCTCGTAGTCGAGGTTTCTGGTCCCGATCAACCTGACCTGACCCTTATCGATATGCCTAGGCTGTACTTCGCGGAAGGAGTCGATGGTGGTGATGGAGTGAAGAGCTTTGGCCGTCTTCGCATTGAAAGTTACGTGCTCAATGCACGCAGCATCATTATCCCTGTGGTATCGGCCAAAATCGACATTTGTGCTCAGAGGATAACCGATTTTGCTGACAAGTATGACCGAAAACGACAGCGGATCTTAGGAATTATCACCCACCTCGATACAATCGAACCATCGTCAGACGAGGAAAAGCTATGGCTGAAGGCTATCAAAGAAGGAACATCCGAACTGCCACTAGGTTTGCATTTGGCGTGCACCCGATGCTACGAGACACGCGATGTGCCAGATGAAGAGAGAGACGAGAAGGAGAAGGAGTTCTTCGAGCGAGGGGATTGGAAAACTGTGTCAGCACAATCCAAAGGAACTGCCAACCTTCGGCGTCGACTTAGCACCATTCTTTTGAATCACGTTCAAAGCAGCCTCCCGGATCTGGTTTCCGAAATCGACCAAAGTATTCTGGCGAACCAATTGACGCTGGCCAAGCTGAGTGCTCCTCGAGGAACCATTCAGCAGAAACGAGCTTTGCTTTTCCATCTGAGCAGTGATTTCCGGCGCATAACCGAGCAAGCACTGAGTGGCATGTACACAGATGACTTCTTTGCTACCTCGGGTAAATTTAAGACTCGTGACCCTCGACGTCTTCGTGCTCTCATTCGTGACTTGAATGAGAGTTTTGCACATGTTATGGAGATCTACGGTTGCCGCCAATTCATTCATGGGGTCACCAACCAGATACTCTCGTTGCCACACCCTTGCAACCCTTACGCAAATATCAGACAGCTGGAACACAGGAGTCGATTTGATTTCGAACTAGAGGTCATTGAACAAATGTGCCGCGACGGAGGACTTGAATTACCAGGCAATTCTAGTCACCTCCTGGTGGGTAACCTGTTTCGAGACCAGTCGCAGCCTTGGGGAGAAATTGCTCGAGCCCATTTGATGAAATCATGGGAGACCACCCGGAACTTTGTGTCGCTTCTCCTGGACCACCTTGCGGATAAACACGTATCCGGGGTAATCATGCGGACCTTAATCCAACCCCAGCTTGATGCAATGAAAGACAGACTACTGGCGAAGGTAGATGAGTTGACTGCTTCCCACAAGCGAGACCACCCATTGTCTATGGCTGGAAGCTTTCTTCGAGGCCATCCATTGCCTGTTGAGCGAAGCTTCCTTGCCAGGATGCAGAAATCCAGAAATGACCGCCTGCTGGCCAACATACAGCAGAACCTTCCTTCAGCCATGAACAATACTTTCAACACGGAACAGCTTAAGGTGGCTACCCAGAACGTGGAGTTGGTAGGCAATCAGGCCGCGGCTTCGGACATCGTTGACCAGTTCCAATCATACTACGATGTGAGTTGAGGACCCAATCAAGAATTGTAATCTTACTGTGCGCAATATACTGACCACAAACAGGATGCCCTTATGATCTTCACGAACAACATTGCAACTCTCGGGATTGAAAGCTGCCTTCTCAGCCCGCTGAATGGCATCTTGACAACCCAAACAATCGCGAACATGGACGACAGCCAAGTCGAGGAGCTTTTCGCTGGTGTACACGATGCTGTACAGAACTGGCGAGAGGAACTGAATGGTAATTTGGAAAAGTTGCAAATGAGCCTGCTGGTATTGAAACGATTCAAGTTTGCAAAGGAATCAAAGCCATCGGTTGGAACAACAAAGCATACTGAACCCTGTTGTTCGGCTCATGAGTGTTCATCTCATGGGTCGTTCCTCGTGCCACAAGGGATCATTTGCAATGGTCCATCTGCCAATCCTTTCGGGATACTATGTGCGGATTCCAGAGTTCAGGGCCAGACCAGCACCCCCGGTTATCAACTCTCGTGGCCATACACTTCGGCGCCCAACATGCAGACCTCACAGGCACCTTGCCCGAGTGGTCCATCCGTCTTGAACCCCAGTGTGGTCAATGGTGGGAGAGTGAGCACTCCATCTGTATCTTTCCCCTTTGCCGGCCAAAATCAAAGCTTCAATCAAGGTCCTAGAAATTCCGGTCCAACTCTATTCTCTGGATCTGGGCTTCAGCCTCCTCAATCTTTTACACCCAGCACGTTCTGGTCTCCTGCTCCTCGGCCTGCTCCATCCCGTGCACCAGACACCCATAATTACGATCCGTAAGTATACGATCTTGGTCTAAATTGTTTTTTATTTGAGAGAAAGAGGCTAACATGATTTGTTTACTCGGTAGGAGTTGGTACTGGGTGGAGACGGATACTACTGGTTGCACCAATCGATACCACTCCATTTGTTGTTATGAGTGGTACAAACGTTTCTCGCATGAGGTAGGAAGCTCACGGTGGTTGATTTAAACGGTCACTGACTTCAATATAGGAGCTGCGATTGGCTGACTATGAGGCCGGCCGACACCCGAACAAATAAGAACCCGACCATCATCTTTACCTTGAGAATTGAGAGAGTTCGACATGATGGAAAAGAAAAGAAAATCTGAAAAAAAAAAAGGGAATGGCAAGGAATGAGGGAAGGGAACGATGATCTACAGGTTGAACATGATTCAATCTAGGAGATGTGTGATTATGGAGGGAGTGTGTTTGAGCCAAAAAAAAAGACAAAAAAAAAAAGGAGAAAAAGACAAAAGGACAAAAAAAGTTAGTACTCCGTATGTAGCAATGTCAAAGAAACTGTTTGTGTAAATTGTTCTATCAAACTTGATAATTGTCCCTGTAACTTTTCCACCACAGCACATAGATAGTTAGGCAAGTTATGAATGAAACAGGAAGTGAATTAAGACAAATCACAAAACAAAATCAGCAATGTAGAGAGGCCAGCACCACATTGCCGTCTGGGTATTCAAAAAACCATTAAGATGAACTAGGCGAACCCAATGGCCATTTTCGTTCGGTATCCGGGTCTTCTATCTCGATGAATGCCAAAGTCCGCTCCTGTCGGCCCTGTCTATATCGAAATCAATCTCCCCTCAATACATATATCCTCCCTAACACAGAGGCATGCGCTTTATACATCCAGTGCAAGGTGCCAAGCTGTACAGATGTAGTTGTTCAAGAACCAACATACCACACCTCCACCCCAAGGACATCGAACTTGACACCTTCATCAGAGAGAGGCTCATTACCAAAGGTCTGGCAGGATGCACTAACACCCTTTTCGAGACCGTCATCCAGCCACAATCCGTAGTGGCCGTCACTATACCATCTATTAGCTAAGAACAATAATAACCTTTCCAGCAACATAAACCACTTACCCGCCCCCTAGACTGAGAAATCCAGTTTCACAGAAGATCATATAATCATTAACCCCACTGTACGGGAAAGCCTTGAAGCGAATGCGTTCAGGGGTGCTCGCGCCACTCCGCGAAGGGGTATGAATGGAAGAAGGCGACGGAGGCGCCAGGACACCACCACTCGCAGCCGCGAGATTGGTCTTAATATTCATATTGAGATTGTGAGCCGGCGATTCCGCGCGCGGCGGTTTCGACTTGTCGTTGCGGAAGGTACTCCATCGGCCAGCGGTAGTAGTATCCACGGAGGGCGGAGGCGGGAGACCAGCGCGCTCAAGGGCTTCCTCGGACTGTGGTCCTTCGTCCGGTATGGGGAAATTCGCGGGCGGGGGGAGCACGCTTGAGCGCCAGAGGAAACACTCTCCCGTGCCGTAGAACTGCGAGTCCGGGTGTGGGGCGTCTGTCAGGTAAGCGCCGAAGACGGAGCTGTAGGGGGATGAATCGCGGATTACGAGGACGTAGCCCGCCCGCGGGCTGCGGTGGGAGAACTCGGCGCAGTTCTCGTAGAGAGTGGAGAGGGAGGCGCCGTCGCGGTCGAGGCTGTAGGCTAGACGCCAGGTTTCGGCGAGTTGGAGGCGCGGTGGGACTAGCAGGCGGATTTCTTCTGCTAGGGCGCGGGTCAGGAGTTGTTGTTGGAGGAGGTCTATCCCTTTAGGGATCTCGAGGGTGAGGGGTGTGAGTGGTGGTGGTTGGAAGGGGGAAGCTGTTCGGCGCGGTGTAAAGACTTCGGAGCTGGAGGAGGAGCGGGACCATGGCATGACGGAGGGCATGTCTTTGGCTAGGTCTGGGTCTGTTATACGACGGTAGAGTCCTGAGACGACGTGACTGACTGGGTAGGAGAAGTAGGAGGCGGCGGATTGGTAAGGTGGTTTTTCGGTGGGTGTCTGGGATGTTGATCCCGGGGTGGAGATGGAGGAGGTGGGGGGGTCGGATGGGATATTTTCTTGTGGAGACGACATGCGAGCAATTCAAATCAATTGATGAAAGATATTGAGCTCTGAAAGAGTATAAAGTAGGACAAGGACGAATGCGGAGTGGAAGTGGAAGTGGAAGTTGAGATGGGTTATCTATATGTGGGGAAAATAAGCCAAGCTGTCACGCCTGGATATTCCTTGCAAGGCGTGGCATGATTACGAGAGAAGTTCTTGGCTTTTCCTTGCTAAATACCTATGTAGGTAGTTAGGTAGTATCTATGTACAATTTAAATAACTATTGATGAGATGAAATAGGTTCAAGCATAATCTATCAGCTAGGTCAGCTACGTGCCCATTCTTTATCAAACACATGCAAATAGCTGGATTCAACGCTATTGACATGATTGGCAATTCCACGGACCTTCTAGAGAAGAAAAGAAGAAACTTGTTGATATGAAATGACATACCAAAAGGCCAAATCAATGCAGACGATGATGGTATCTTAGTGTGTATCGAGGAATTCAAACGCAAAGCAATCAGTTCTTCAGGGCATCCGGACGAAGATCCACCGTCTCAAATTCTAACCCACTGACTTCAAAGACATGCCCTGGTCGCAAGGCCCCAGTGTAGATATTCTCCTCAGCATGCGGATGGAACAGACCAGTCTGGTTGCAGTTCAGAACCGTCTTCAGACCCGGAGGATCAGTCAATCGGAACACGCCCCAATCGGGGGTTTTGCTTGGAGCGCACACGATAGCAATGCTCTCGGGGAGCATCACTTGGTAACCGCAGTGCGTATGTAGATCACGGGAGCTCATGAAACATGTCTGCGACGGATGTGTGTGGATCCAGCCAAGTGTCATCAAATCCTCGGAGTCGCAGTACTCGAAAAGAGCGGATTCATTGACCGTTTCGCAGGTGTCAGACGTGGCTGTTTGCTCGGGAATGACCAGCTTAGATATGAAGAGCGCGTTGGAAACAAGGGTGCCACAAAGCATACCGCATGTCTCAAGGTTGACGCGGGTGTTAGGAGCAGCCAGGGATAGGAAGCGGGATCGGAGGTTCGCTGGCAAAAATACCGAGCGCAAGGGAGTGCCATTTTCGAGATAGGCTGAGGGTTTGAAGGTGTAACTTGAGGGATCGAGGTCTGAACGTGTGGCGGTGGGTTCTTCGGAAGGTTGGATCTTCTGAGGCAGTGCCGGGCCTGGAAATACCTTCGCCGGCCGCGATGGAACTACAGCTGTTGCAGGATCATCGACAATGGATGCCCGGCTAGGCTCCAGGTGCTCCTTCGGAGGCAATATCGGAGGCGCCTGCCGTTCCGCATTCTTGTCGAGGATGGCAATCTGGCCTGGAGACACAGTCGGCTCCAGGGGCTTTTGGCGCGGCACAGTCGGATAATTGTACGCAGAAGTAGCCGAGGAAGGAACCTCGGGCTCTTTGGCAGGTTGGCCATAAGGTTGGTTTGTGTGATCGAAATCGGACTTGACGTTCTGAACACGTCGACTGTGGTCGCGATCGCCTGTACGAGAATCTGACGTCGTAGAATAGTCCCAATCTCCCCATACGCCAGCTGCACGACGAGCTTCCAGCTCTTCGGCAGACGGCCCAGAAAGACTCTTTGAGCCACGGACGGTGGCTCGGCGGTTGAGTTCTGATTGGGCTAACTGTACGGCGAGATCTCGATTCTCCCCAGCTTCCAAAGGCTCTGCCACTCCGGCAAGAGCGGGATCCGGGACTTGTTCACGTGGTTCGGCGACGATCTTGGCTTGCGAGGGCTGTTTCCGAGATTCGCGTTCCCGCATCAACTGAGTGTAACGCTCATACCGCTTATTTATGCGTGGCCTCAAAACCTCCAGCTTGCTAAGGTTTTTCTCAACCTCTTTCTCGGCTGCGACCAAGGCCTTGCGATCTTCCTCATTCCTTTTGGTATCGGGGTGTTTGGAAAGATGGACCAGAATCAACTGAGCATGGCGAAACAGAATGAGATAGGCTTGCTCATCGTGTCCTTCGCGTTCGTAAATGTGGGCCTAAGAGGTGAAGAAAAGTTAGCAAGTCTGAAGTGGTCATGATCCAAGTGCAGGCAACAAGCATAACAAACCTCACGTAAAAGCGTCGCGGCAGTCCTCAGCCAATACCGTAATGGAACGGAAGAGTTGTACTCGTAGTTCTGTGCTATTCGCGTAATGTTCTCAACACTTTGAGGGGAAGTACCCCCAGTGGCGGTTCCCATCGCATTGGAAGCCATGGCAACAAGGTACGCTAAGGCAAAGGTAGGTGAGGTTTAGGAAGACAAGATAAAGAAATTAAGCGTAGATTAAGCCTCAAATAGCATATTGAGATGATAGGAACCTCCGAAAACTGGAAATACCAGCGGCAATTGTGGGAGCCGCATCTAGGGCGACCTGGAAGATAAACTTGGTGAGGGGAGAGGTGGGATGAGAGCGGGCAGCTTGGTCTCTCCGCTCTTCGACGTAAATTGCAAAAAAAAAAAAAAAAAAAGCAAAGCAAAGCAAAGCAAATTACACCTCTCTCACATTATTCCCTTCAATTGGAACTAGCTACCCCTCCATGCTATACTCATGATCGTCCTTGGCATTTGCCAGCTCTTAAATAATGAGACCAAGACCAATCATCCCAGAACGAAAGCCGTTGGCGAAGTTTCCCGAGACGGCGAGGCTTTACCCAGTGCTCGTGAAACAACGCGGGAAAGTCAAGACACGACAGCAGTTCGTGAGTGATGGGCTACTCGGTAAGTCTTGAGTCTCAGTCCCATACACAATGGGTACAAATATGCTAATGCGCTTGGACCTTTGCAGATGATGTTCTCAAGCGCTTATCGCCTTACCTTCGCCGAAACCCACCGGTAGACATTCTGGACCTTTGGCCTGGGGGTGGCTTTATGTCATCGAAAGTCAATACACTTCTGAAGCCACGCCGCCATGTGCTTGTTGAACCAGGTATTAAATTTCACGGTCTTCTTACGCCACTCGTCGAGAGCAAGCCGTGTTACAAGCTCGTCCAGGAAAACATTTATGGAAAACACGATTGGGCTGATTTCTTCGCGACTCATCTTCCAGAACAAGGCCCTGGGAACCGAGAACGCTCTGGGAATATCCCAAAGAATGATACACTCCTCATCCTGGCTAATCTGCCTGATAGTTCCTCTGCAGTGAATCATTTCAGACCCAGCCGCTGGTTTCTCCACT